AGTGATGGATGGTGAGTTTCAGCTGCAGTAACTGGAATGCAGGTCAAAGGTCAGTAGCTGGGCAGTGTTATGCTTCCTGCACTCAGATCTCAGAGGCACGTAGGCACCCTGCATCAGGCCCTGGCTACTACCAACCTACTAGCCATTGGTTTTAGTGAGTTTTGAGGAACAGTGAACATTTATTTATTCCTTTCACGAGTCACTTCTCAGAAGACAGTTGGAATTCATTGGTGGACAGATTATCAAAAGTGACCCCAAAGCTAAACAGCCACATTGAGGGGCAGGTATGGTGGCACAGCAGGTGCACAGCAGGACGTCCGCACCCCATACCAGAGCGCCTTGGTCCAAGTCCTAACTTTTCCCAATCCAGCTTCTTGCTAATGTGCACCCTGGGAGGCAGCAGGTGATAGCTCAAGTACTTGGGCCCCTGCCACTCACGGGGGAGACCTGGACTGAGTTCCTTAGCACCCGGCTTCTGCCTGGCCCTGCCCTGGATGTTACAGGCATTTAGGTAGTGAACCAGAGGAGAGATCTTTCCCTCCCTCCCTACTTCTATCTCTGTTGTTCTGCCTTTCAAATAAATAATATGTAAATAAAACAAAGTCACATTGAAGTGTTTGTGAGGAATTTTTTTAGGTTATTGATATGTCAATTTTTTTTTGATATGTCATAATTAACACCAAAGATGGTCCCTCTGACTTTTTTTTTTGCTTCCTTTAACTTATTGAAGCATGTACTTAGTAAGCAACTACCTTGGCAGTTCATGAACTCATTGACTCCTAAATTGGAAGTAATCTTTATCTGGTAGAGGCCATTCGTTCTGTAAACATGTTTTGAAGCTCTTTGAAAGGAATGGCTTAGTGGCTGTCTAAATGGTAATCTAAGTGAAGTGTGTAAGTGCTTTGCAGGGTGCTGTTAGGACCAAAGAATGAAGGCAAACATTTCCTGCTTTCATTTTATCTGAAAATGTCAACTCAGAAGACATCATCATTTTGGGTGTGATTATTTGTACCATGGAGGCTTTATCGCAGAGTTCTTCCTTTACTAAATAAGTGGCCCCTGATTTCTGTTACTGGAAACTGCATCATAAAATAGACAAGAGCACCAGTTGGGGCGCCGGATTCTGTCCTGGTCGCTCCTCTTCCTGTCCAGCTCTCTGCTGTGGCCCGGGAGTGCAGTGGAGGTTGACCCAAGTCCTTGGGCCCTGCACCTGCATGGGAGACCAGAAGCACCTGGCTCCTGGATTCGAATCAGTGCGGTGCGCTGGCCACAGCGCACTGGCCACAGCGGCTATTGGGGGGTGAACGAATGGAAAAAGGAAGACCTTTCTGTCTGTCTGTCTCTCTCACTGTCCACTCTGCCTGTCAAAAAAAAAAAAAAAATAGACAAGAGCAGGTCATATTTTTCAGTGGAAACTAACCAACAATGATATTTATGATAAGCATTTGTATTCAAGAAATCATGACCAATAGTATGTCATCAGAGATGCACTGGTTGTTAGATCAATCATCGAAAATGTGTGTCAGGTATTATTAAGGGGCAAAACCATGTGACACATGGTAGTTATGTTTCTTTGCAGTGTGTCTCATCATACAGATATGTAGCCATTGTCATTGGATATTCAGTTTTGATCCAGTACACTCTGTATAGTGAACATCAGTCAGAAATGTGGTTCCTTCTCGTCACTGTAGGATTTAGAAGAGTCCTTTGGGGATGGTGGAAGATGATCTAGCCTTTTTGAAGAAGCCCTTCGAAGCAGTCTGAATGCTTCCTTTTTCCTCAAGCCTCATAAGAAGCTAGGGCATTTGATAGCATTCCATTCACTTTAGGTTGGGGTTAGGGTTTCCTTAAGAAGTGATGTTACTGAGGAGTATGATGGTGCTTCTTCAAGAAGGTAGCTTGTTTATTAACAAGCAACTAAGAATATTCAAAAAGACCATCACTATTTTTGAATTTTTCTTTGAGAGACTGAAAAAGAGATCTTCCATCTTCTGATTCACTCCTCAACTGCCTGAAAAAGCTGGGGCTGGGGCTGGGGCAGGCTGAAGCCAGGAGCCCAGAACTCAGTCAGGGTCTCCCAAGTGAGTGACAAGAGCCTAAGCACTTGAGCCATCAAATGCTGTTTCCCAGGTTGTGCACTAGCAGGAACCTAGAATCGGGAGCAGATATGAGACTAGAACCCAGGCACCAAGTGGCTGTTCCAAATACCTAGCCCCATGACTATTACTTTAAATCCCTACGTTGTTTGCATTTTTCTTGGTATACCATGATTGTTAAATGATAACAGAGGGTGCATCTTACTTCGTGGGCTGTTTTCACTTATATGTTCATTTCTTTGTGTGTATATAGTCACTATCCTTGTCATTTTCACTGGCTATATAGCATCCTTTCCTGCAAATGTATCCCACAGTCTTCCACTTGGAATGTTTTACTTTTTCATTACAATCAATGGTACTGATATGAAAACTTTTATGCCAAACCTTTTTAAAAAATGTCCCCCTCTCTTTTAGGGTTTCTTTGCCCCATATTCCCTGAAGTGGAGTGGCCAGCTCCAAAAGTACTATAGTTTGTCTTACTGCTTTTCAGAAAGGTCACCTTTGTAGAACCATCAGCACGGTATAGTTCAACCAAGAGTAATTGTTTCCACACATTCTGAACAACTCGGGATTTTATTATTTCTTCCCTGAAAGGTACATTGTGGTACCTTCAGGTAATTCTGATTTCCATCCTTTCATTACAGGCGAGGCTGTGCATGCATTGTTACTTGTAGTGCTTAGTCTGTTCTTTAAATGGTTCCCTCTCCAAGGACTGTAGATACTGGCTCATGCATTTATAATGATTTTGACCAGTGGGCATCAAATAGCTGTGGTAGACACCTTCCCTCTATTCTGTTGCTCATCTTTGGATATTTATTAGGAAAAAAGGATGTTTGAAAATGAGGGCTGGCTTTGTGTACTCAAAGCCACAGTTCCGAGCATAGAAACAGATCTGTGCAGAGTCAGCAGGAGATGCTGGCTGTCAACATACTGACTGGCATTCTCTCTCTCCCTCCGTTCTCTTCCCTGCCCTCCCTGTTTTCTGCCTTTCTGAGGGAGGCTATCCGATCAGACTTCTTTCCAGAGGCAGATGTTAACGTACTTGTTTTCCCAAGCACTCCCTGGGGAAGAATACTGGATCCATTAGTAATAAAGCTTGCTTCTGGAGAAGAGAACCAGGTAGCAGCTGGGTGGGTGGGTGGGGTGGGTGTGAGCAGCTTCCTTCCCACTGTATCTTTATTGCTCTAGTGTTCTGTATTGGTAATAAAAATGAATTAAAACCATATAGAAGACCAGCGTTTGTCACAGTGGATTTTTGAAAAATGACCCTCAAAGTTTGCTGCTGCATGTGACAAGCTTCAGTGTGCACAGGCAGGCAGGAATGAGTGAGCAGATGAAGGCGGCCAATAGACGGAGGTCATATTTGGGCAATAGAACTGCCTGCCTTTCTCTTTACTGAAGTTTACTTAATCTTTATGGACTGCAGGACAGCATAAAGGAAATTTACTTGCCTAAAACTACTTCCCTGAGGAGTGTGGGATATAGCTGGGATGTTCCTCTGATCTAGCCTTTCGGATAAAGCTGGGTATGAGAACAACGAGTTGAGTCATTTTCCTGCTTCCTGGGTGGACAGGGCCAGAGAGTGGCGTTGCTATAGAAGCTGCTTCTAGCCAAGCACGGTGTTTGAGGCCCGCTGGTGGGCACAGGTTCAGGTTGTGATTAACTTGACTTTGTTGTTCTACTTGGGGCCTGTCCTTCATCAGTTGAGTTTTGGCAACTGCAGGGGAACGGGTATGACTGGAAAGCTTGAGCACCCCCTGGCCACACTTAGTGGTTCATGTGTCTTGAAGGGGGCAAGAGGATGCCTGGAGGCTTCAGAGCCCCCTTTGAGAAGTCACTGCACCACCCTAGATATTCTGGGATAGACTTTGGAAATGAGCTTTCAGCTAACCCCTCAACCTCACCTGAACTGGCTTGTGTCCATGAGGCTGTGTACTAACCACTAGCCACATGAGGCTCTTTAAATAGAAATCAAAATGAAAAACCCCGTTCCTTAATCCTACTAGTTGCTCAACAGCTGCGTTTGGCTTGTGACGACTGGACTGGACTGCATATACAGCCCAATCCCATCGTCAGACAACATTCTATGGGACAGTGCTGAAGTGGGCCATTGAGGGATGGTGGGATGCTTTGTAGCCGTGTGATACACGCTGCAAGCCTCTCTGGTGCTTCCCGTGCCGACGTAAATCCACCCTCCCTTTTAGGGTTGGCTCAATTCTAGTTCTTCCAGAAACTTCTCCTGACTACCCCAACTCATAGTAACGACTCCCTTCTTGGGACTCCCCCCGACAGAGTCCCCCAAATACTTGATGACACTCCATCTTACTGGTGTCACATCTTTGCTCATCAGTCTTATCTTCCCAGTAAGGCCACAGGACCCTCAAGCACAGAGCTTAAATCCCACACTTCCTGGGAGATGCATCTACATGTGAGGCTAGCACCTCTTCTTCTTTTTTTTTTTTTTTTTTTTTGACAGGCAGAGTGGGCAGTGAGAGAGAGAGAGACAGAGAGAAAGGTCTTCCTTTGCTGTTGGTTCACCCTCCAATGGCCGCTGCGGCCGGCGCGCTGCGGCTGACGCACCATGCTGATCCGAAGCCAGGAGCCAGGTGCCTCTCCTGGTCTCCCAAGCAGGTGCAGGGCCCAAGCACTTGGGCCATCCTCCACTGCACTCCCGGGCCACAACAGAGAGCTGGCCTGGAAGAGGAACAACCGGGATAGAATCTGGCGCCCCGACCGGGACTAGAACCTGGGGTGCCAGTGCCGCAGGCGGAGGATTAGCCTAGTGAGCCGCGGTGCCGGCCATAGCACCTCTTCTCCTGCCAGAGTGCTCAGCAGAAGCATCTATCAAACCTTTCTGTTCCCCAGCTGCCTTTTGTACTTTGCACTTACCTTCAGTACTATAAGAATCAGCACGTGGGACAGACTGCATGTCGTGCTTCAGAAGCATTTATTGGTAGGTCAGCATCCTTGTGATGCCAGAGACAGCAGATTCAGCTTTAGTACTGGTCAGGGGAGGGGGGAGGAGGGGGAGGGGGTGGTGACCGAAACCAGGGCTTGGCATTGACATCAGGTCTTGAAAACATCTTTGACAAAGCTGTTGATATGTTCTTCCTTACTTCAGAGCCTTGTCTGGAAGTACTGGGCATACTGTCTGTGAACAGACCGAAAGAGTTACAGACACTATTTCCAGTTGTTGCTGTGGTGCTAGGGGACTGAGAATTTAGGACTCAGAAAAGCAGCATTTACGGAATAACATGGCTTTCAGAGTGCTTTCATAAGGAGTTTGTTGCTTCCTTCTGACATCCCTATGAAGGAAGCAGGGGAGGTCAGCGAGGTCACCTCATCTAAGGCCACATGGGTAGCAGTGGGCAAACTGGCAATAGGGCCAGCATTGTCCTCTCTGTACCCTGATGCTTCTTTTTTATTTTTAAGGATTTTTTAAAATTTACTTGAAAGGTAGAATTACAGAGAGTGGAAGAGACAGAGACAGAGATGGGGGGAGCAGGGGAGAGAGAGAGAGAGAATGAATCTTCCATTCAATGGATCATTCCCCAAATGGCCATAACTACCAGGGCTGGGCCAAGCTAAAGCCAGGAGCCTGGAGTTTCTTCCAGGTCTCCCACGTGGGTGGCAGGGACCCAATTACTTGGGCCATCCTCTGCTGCTTTCCCAGGCACATTAGCAGGGATCTGGAGTGGAAGTGGAGCAGCCAGGACTTGAACTGGTGCTCATATGGGATACTGGCGTCACAGATGGACGCCCAATCTACTATGGCACAACACTCCCCCCTACCATGCTTCTTGAACCAACTCTACAGCCTGCCTTCTCCAACCTAGCAGATGGCTGTCCAAAAAAATCAATCAATAAATCAAAAAATCCTAATGAGCTAATTCCATGTGAAGAGGTAGCTTTCAACTCTGGAGTGTGGACACTCATTTCAGAATTCCAGGTAAAAGCAGCAATGTGTTCAAAAGGCCCATCGTTCTCACTTGGGCTAAATTTTCAGTTAACTGATCTCAAGTGACCAGTTTGTTGTGTGAGCTATAAAGGACTTGTGTGGCAATAAGAGTCTCCATTTGAACCCATTTTTCTGCACCACTAGTTTTACGTATAGAGCTCTTAAGAGCATATGGCACTTCGTGTTAACAAAGTGATGGCTGTATCTGTAAGGACAGAGAGAAACCTTTATCTGCTGCTGATGCCTCATGGCAGGATGTGCTATCCCATGCAAAGACAGCAGGTGGGGTGGGCGTTGCGGCCTAGTGGGTTAAGCTGCTGCCCGTGATGCCAGCATCCCATATGGATGCTGTTTCAAGTCCTGGCTGCTCCACTTCCAATCCAGCTCCCTGCTAATGCATCTGGGAAGGCATCAGAGGATGGCCCAAGTGCTTGAGCCCCTGTGCCCACATGGGAAACCTGGAAGAAGCTCCTGGCTTCTGGCTTCAGTCTGACTGAACCCTGGCCATTGTGGCCATTTGGGGAGTGAACCAGTGGATGGAAGATTTCTTGTCTCTTTCTCTGACTTTCAAATAAAGTAAATTAATCTTTTTTTTAAAGACAGTAGGGTAATAAAACATATGCTTTCTTATTCCTGGTAAAAGACTTCTTTTATACTTCCCATGCTTACCTAGTTTTTATTTTCTCCAGTGATATAACCTTGGAACCTCAAGCATCTGGGGTTTAAGCTAAGGTGGCAGCAAATTTACACCTTATGAATGAAGGGGGAAAGGTTTAGCTTTTGAAGGAATAATACAGCACTGGAATATGCTGGGAATTTTAAAAATGAACTAGAAATTGATAAGGAAAATGCCAAAATCTGCAGGGGGCAAAAGCAAGGGCCCGAGTGAGGGCGATCTATAGTCGTAATACATAACACAGAGACTATGAGTCATGGGACTAAGCTTGTGCTGCAGGATCATGTTCAGAAAATCTCATTGCTGAGGGAAAACTGAAGCTTTGTTTTTGAAATTTGGGAATTTGTAAAAATGCACCTGCCTGGACACCATTTCCCAGAGACGGTAACTGGGCGTGTCTGGGGATGAGCATTGCTAGTTAGCACCCTGGGTGATCCTGATGCAAACACCCCAGATGACACTTTGAGACACTGTCCCTAACTTGCAGTCACCATGGATTCAGCATATTGCTCAAGATTGGCAGGTGGCTGGCATCCTAGATCATAGCACACGCGGAGCTGTGCCTGAGAAGCTCAGCGAAGCCAAGTTGTCCTTTCACAGCAAACTGCTGAAAAGGGAAATGAAGCAGTAGGTGTGGCGTTCGCAATGTGTGGGAAGTAGGAGAGTCAGCCATCAGGATACAATAAAGCCAGCTGGGTAAGACCACATCTCTGACAGTGTCTCTGCTGCTGCTTTGGTCAGTTTGTGGGAAGAGTGGTGGGCTGCCACTGGGATCTGTGCAGAGACAAGCCTGGGGCATTTACGGCCAAAGTGAATGGGCCGTGATGCACACTACGTGCCAGGGAAAGTCACTTCACACTGTGGCCCGATTCAGAGTCCCGCTAAAACCGGACTTGTCAAAACAACACTATTGGCTCTAATGAGCATGCGCTGGTCCGGAAGTCCTCCTTTTCTTGTGGGTTTTATGAACAGGTAGCATTGTAATTCTTAACAAATTCCCTTCTGTGGGCCTTTTTATTGTGAGCATCTGAGTACAAAGTTGGCCATTTGTGCATTTCTTTCCCCCAAAGCCCTTATCAGAGTAAAACTGGGTGGTTTGACTCTCTAATGGCTGCCCGCGAGCTTCTGTGTTGTGCAGCATGCAGAGGCTGGGAGGAGGTGTCCCTGTGCAAATGAGGGCACAAAAGAATGTGATTTTACTTTGTTGACTGGACATGTGGTTGGGACCCTAGGTGGGATCTTTTGCTCCTTGCCCCTGAATTCTGCAGCCTCTCCAATTTTGGGCCACAGCCTGTTTGGCTATAGCCCAGGCTGGTGGAAAGACAGCCACACACCCTGCAAGGTGTGGGCCCCAGCTCTGCCATTTGCAAGGCCATTCAACCTCAAGCAAGTCATTTCCCTCCAGTCTCTGTTCTGGGACAGACGTGAGGCCTTGCCAAGGAAGCATGGTATGGTGAGCTCCTTCACTTGTGTGACGATCTCCTCTGCTGTGAGGTTCAAGTTTGAGAACTGCATAATAACCTGCTGATGGCAATCTGTTCACACACACTGTGTTAACAGTCTTTCAACCCATATTGGTGGTGGATGCAAGTGCTGCAAAGCAGGAGTCAACACTCCAGAGAAATGAATAACAAAATATTTGTTTTCCAAATGATGTAACTGTGAGCTGTGTTATAAAATGAAATCTATTCTGTACCTGAAGTGTCATCATTTGAAGAGTGGCCATTGGTGAGAGCACTGTCACGTTGAAAGAGAGTAACAAACTGCGGAGACAAAAGGGAAAGACTAACTCAGGCCTCTGCCTTTTGTTGGACAGTAAACCCTAGACATGCCTAGGAACCCCTGTGAGGTGGGAACACAACCATTGTGGCACTACACGTGTTAATCTCTGCTCTGCAGTCTCAAAAAGTTATTCTCTGGGGCTCTGGCTGCTCCCAGGTTTTGCTTCTCATTCTCCCCATTTTAACTCTGAAGATTGGCCCCAGGCTTGGGTGCAGACCTTGGCTGTGCCTCTAGGGTCATTTTGAGGGATCACGTGAGTCCCAGGTCACAAAAACTGTCAGCTGTGTTTTTAAATTCCCCTTTTTCCTAGGGCTTGCATGAAATAAAATGTAAAACCCTACAGATCTTTCTCTGAGAAGATAACAATGGGGGAAGTCTTAGGGGAAAAGGGGGGAAAGGGATGTCTCTTATCTTACCACCCCAGTCTCGCTTGAAAAGACTCAGCAAGTGTGGGGTCTGGAGCAACACAGTGGCAGAGGGTGGAGGGGAAGGGTCACAGGCACATGGAAGTGGTGGCAAGGCAGGGTGAGTGGCCAGACCCTGGTTTTTCTTTGTGGAACTTTATTAGCTCTTGGAATACAGAAGAGGCATGGCTGCAGAATTCAGGGGCAAGGTATAAAATAGGCTGGGGCACATAGCTGGGCTGCAGGATTCATTTCAAAAGGAACTGGGAAATCAATGAAGTAGGCCCACATACATGCTAGAGGACAGGGATAAATTGGGACATGGGTAATCCTGGCTGTACAAGAGAACCAACTGGAGAAAATGTTAATACACATCCTTGGGCCTAATCCCAATTAAACAGGACTCCTTGAAGGTGGGCCACATACTGGTAGGGTCTTAAATTGCCCAGGTGACTATAAATGTGCAGCCAGGACAAGAAGCCAGAAGGGCAGAGGCTACCAGCCCCCTGACGTGAGCCTATTAATTTAGTGGTTGTACATTAAAAATGCACATAAAATATGTTGGCTGTACATTAAAATCATCTGAGGAGCTTTGAAAACTTCCGCTGCCCTGGCTTCAACCTACGTAAGTTGACTCAGAATCCCTGGAGGTGGAACCCAGGGGTCAGTCATTTTTAAAGTTTTCCAGATGGTGGGCTGTAAATGTGGTACTGTGGGTTAAGCTGTCACCTGTGATGCCAGTATCCCATATTAGAGGGTAGGTTTGATTCCTGGCTGTTCTCCTTTTTTTAAAAAAATATTTGAAAAGCAGAGTTACAGAGGGGGGGAGAGAGAGAAAGAGAGAGAGAGAGAGATTGATCTTCCACCCACTGGTTCACTTCCCAAATGGCCGCAATGGCTGGGGCTGGGCCAGGCCAAAACCAGGAGGCAGGAGCCAGGAGCCAGAAGTTTCAGGTCTCCCACGTGGGTGCAGAGGTTCAAGCACTTGGGCCATCTTCAACTGCTTTCTCAAGCCATTAGCAGGGAGCTGGATAGGAAATGGAGCAGCTAGGATTCGAGCCAGTGCCCATATGGGATGCCAGTGTTGCAGATGGTAGCTTAACCCAGTACAGCAAAATGCCAGCCCTGGCTGCTCCCCTCATGATCCAGCTCCCTGATAATGCTCCTGGGAAAGCAATGATGGTTGGCCCAGGTACTCTGGTCCTGCCATCCATGTAGGAGACCCAGATAGAGGTCCAGGCTCATGGCTTTGGCCTGGCCAAGCCCTGCCATTGCAGCCATTTGGGGAGTGAACCAGTGGACGGAAGATCTCACTGTCTCTCATGCTCTCTTTGTCACTCTCCCTCAAATAAAATAAATCAAACAAAAAGTTTTCCAGGTAGTTGAGATTCTCTTTCTGTGTAGTAGTTCACAAAGACAGCCATACAGCAGATTCACAGGGAGGGGTATCTGGGAACTCCTGATACAGAGATGAAATTTAAAACATTTTTCAGAGATCTCCCTCTGGTGGGTTCACTTCTCAAATGACCACATTAACCAAGGCTAGGCCAGGCCACAGCTGAAATCTGGGAACTCAATTCAAGTCTCTTATGAGGGTGGCAGGCACCCAACAACGTAATCCATTGTTACCTGCTGCCCTCCAGAGTGTGAGTTGGCAGAAAGCTGGGACTCAAACCCAGCCACTGTGGTATGGGAAGCATCTTAACCACTAGGCCAGATGTTTGCTCCATGCAGACTAAATCTCACCCTGACGGCTAGGCATTACTGCCTTCAACAAGTGTTTGCTGGTCAGGGAAGGCTTCACCAAAAAGGTGGCATGAGGGGCTGGTGCTGTGGCATAGTAAGTTAAGCTTCCATCTGCGGTGCTGGCATCCCATATGGGTGCCAGTTTGTATGCTGGCTGCTCCTCTTCTGATCCAGCTCCCTGCTAATGTGCCTGGGAAAGCAGTGGAAGATGGCCCAAGTCCTTGAGCCCCTAAACCTATGTGGGAGACCTGGAAGAAGCTCCTGGCTCCTGGCTTTGGATTGGCCTAGCTCAGGCCATTGCAGCCATTTGGGGAGTGAAACAGCGAATAGAATACCTCTCTCGCTGTCTCTCCCTCTCTCTGTAACTCTGCCTCTCAAATAAATAAATCTTGAAAAAAGAAGGTGGCATGAGCAAAGACTAGAAGGAGATGAGGGAGCCAACTGCAGTAGTTATCCCGGGACAGTGTGAAGTAGTTGCAATCAGTACTCATTTCCCTCTAGCAGTGGCCCTTCCTCTCGGGGGCATCTGTTCCCTCTCTGCCACCAGCAGGCCTCTCACTTGGTCTAGCTGGGGGCTATGTGCCTCTCTCCCTTTCAGCTTGTCTCCAGAGGCTATGGCACCACAGCTCACGAGGGGAGCTGTACTAAGGTGCTGAGGGGCACCTGCAGCTTACTCTATGTACTTAGGCAAAGGCAATGCCTTAACCCCCAGGTGAGGGCTTTCATTCAGGGCTTTTCAGGCACCAGGGGCTGGCCGCGGCAGGAAGAGGCTAGGAGATGGGCATGGACAGGGTGGACAGAGAGTGATTCCTGATGCCCCTCATGGCATATCTTGTGGACGGTCCTTTATTCCATGTTGACAACCCACTACACCACAAGGAGGGGCCAGCAGCACCACATATTTACCTTAATACTGCTGGATTTGTCAGCATCTAGGTTTTCAAGATCTTCTGTGAGGGAAATACAATATTGGGAAAGTTATTTTTGAGATGTGTATGAACTGTCAGCAAAAAATAATCTCAATACTTCCATCCAAGCATCATAGAAATTAGGCAAACAGAGGTGAAGCAGGTGTGATCCTTAGAGAGCTAGGTCAGGTCTTAGCAAAAGATGGGGCTAGAGTGTGGAGAGGCATTCTACTGTAGTCGCCTTCAACATCTAGTCCCTCAGAAGCTCCTGCTGACTCAACCTGCCAAGCAGGTTAGGAATCTGTTCACTTCTCCCCATCTCTTCACTGCTACCCCCTCGCATGAGCTACCTTCCTCCCCTGGCTGGCTTGGAGTATTCTCCTAACTGATCTCCCTGCTTCCACCCTTTTCCGACTCAGTCCATTCGCTAGACTGTGGCTAGAGGGATTTTTTTTATTTTTATTTTTTTATTTTTTATTTTTATTTATTTTTTGACAGGCAGAGTGGACAGTGAGAGAGAGAGACAGAGAGAAAGGTCTTCCTTTGCCGTTGGTTCACCCTCCAATGGCCGCTGCGGCCGGCGTGCTGAGGCCAGCACACCGTGCTGATCTGAAGGCAGGAGCCAGGTGCTTCTCCTGGTCTCCCATGGGGTGCAGGGCCCAAGCACTTGGGCCATCCTCCACTGCACTCCCTGGCCACAGCAGAGAGCTGGCCTGGAAGAGGGGCAACCGGGACAGAATCTGGCGCCCCGACCGGGACTAGAACCCGGTGTGCCGGCGCCGCTAGGTGGAGGATTAGCCTGTTGAGCCACGGCGCCAGCCGGGATTTTTTTTAATGCACAAATTAGATTATGCCATTTCTCTGCTTCAGATCCTCCACAGGCTTTCTACTGCAAGGCAATCCACACCTCTTCCCAGGCTCGAAACAGGCCCTCCATGACCCGACCCTGGCTGTCTCTTTCATCTCCTGTCACCTGCCTTCTCACTGTGCCCTGGATGTGGCCTTTCTTCTTTTCCTCCAGATTCAAAACTCATCCCATCCCAGGGCTTTTGCACTTAGTGGAACCTGTATATGGACTCCTCTTCTTCCATATCTTTCTCCTTCTTGTCATTAAGGTCGGATGTTCCTGGATTTCTTGGACCAAACTGATCTAGCCAGCTACCTTCTATCTATCACGTTTATCTTTCTTCATACTCATCTATGAATTCCTCAAGCATTTACTGAAACCCTACTCTGTGCCTCCTTTCTAGCCATGTGGGGATATAGTAAACAGATGCCTGGGGAAGGCTTTACTTGGAATATGGTATTTGGGCAAGATCTGGAGCAGGTGAGTGGGTTGTGCAGACATCTGGGAGAAGAATATGGCTGGCTGCGCAGCAAGTGCCAGGGCTCTGAGAGAGGAGAATGCCTGGCATGCCGAAGGTCAGAGTGGCTAGACTGCAGTGATTAAGAACTAACAGGGTGGGCTGGTGCTGTGGCATAGTGGGTAAAGCTGCTGCCTGCGGTGCCGGCATCCCATATGGGCACTGGTTCAAGTCCCGGCTGCTCCACTTCCATTCCAGCTCTCTGCTATGGCCTGGGAAAGCAGTAGAAGGTGGCCCAAACCCTTGGGCCCCTACACCCACATGGGAGACCCAGAAGAGGCTCCTGGCTTCGGATCAGCACAGTTCTGGCCGTTCAGGCCATCTGGGGAGTGAACCAGTGGACGGAAGACCTCTCTCTCTCTCTCTCTCTCTCTCTCTCTCTCTCTCTTTCTCTGCCTCTGCTTCTCTGTAATTCTGCCTTTCAAATAAATAAATACATCTTTTTTTAAAGAGCTATCATTAGGAGAGGTGCTCACAGAAGTCACAGGGAGTGTGAGGGCTGTCCACACCATCTAGGGCCTTATAAGCCATTGTAAGGGCTCTGGCTTTTACCCTACATATGATGCAGAGTACTCATTCTACCCAGTTAATATGTTTATGCTCCTCTCCCCCACACACACTCCCACGTTAGAATGAAAATTCTATGAGGGCATGGACTTGGTCTTGTTCACAGCTGTATCCCCAGCACTTAGGACAGTGTCTACCACAGAGAAAGTGCTCAGTGAATATTTGATAAATGAGTGAATTGTGCAGGTATAGTAATGCCAAAGGATCGAGGAACTAAGCCTACTTGGTTAAGCAATGAAGTTGTTGGAAACACTAACTCTGGCTTTAGGTTTAGGAGACTTGGATCTATACTCTATCTCAATATATGACTTTAGACCATTCACCTTTCCTATCCTGAACCTCATTTTATCCATCTCCAAAACCTTGGTCCCACAATACAGGAAAAAAAATCACCTCTGACTATGATGTGTGCATGGAATTCTGGCGTATTTACCAGTATCCTATGGCTCATCTTTTAATGAATATTACTTCTACTGTTGGGTGAGTAACTCCTTGAATGGGTTACTGGCTTAAAATAGGCAAAGTAAACTTGGGCCCTGTGGTTTGAGTCTCAAGGCCACCTTTATCAGTAAACATGACAGTCCTATGTCTAGTTCAGTGCTGTCATTGTTAAATTGATGCTGAGATTTCAACAGAGGACCAAAAATTCAACTAATACTTCATGAGCCACTTCTAAAAGAGACAAAAGCATAAAGTGGGATCCACCCTAGCTTGATTTTAATGTAAGACATAAATATATCTTTAGCTTCAAAAGCTTTTTAATATATTTTAGTAGGGCTAAGCTAGTTATACAAAGCAAGCATATACTCTTAAAGAGATGATTAAGTCCTAGTAGCATGGACTCTGGTTCCCATTTAAACTATTGATATGATAAACTCTTATTTCTTGGATAGTTCCCACAGGAGCATGGTTAATTATAAACTCACATCTCAGCATATACTCTATACCCAAATCATTAATGAAATCTTAGGCCTGGCTCAAACTAGTTGGCTCACGTTAATAGGTTAACTGTCATAGTGCTCCACCAAAGTAGGTCAACCTACTGAAAGATCTGGTTTTAACTTCAGGTTTGACAACAGGAAAATTCATCAAAGTAATGAACAAAGACTCCTTTTAAATATCAATTTAAATTAAGAAAAAAAATCAGTCCAACCTTTGGTTATTTTAGTGCTTGGGTCAGGGGAATGATCATCGTAGTCACTGAAAAAGTAAAAGATATTTCATTGTTCTACATTTTATACGTGAAGGAACAGCCAACATACAGTCTGACAAAGCCATTAGTTATATAGAAGCAAATCTGGAATGGTGTGCCTCTGAATCCACAAATCAAGTAAGAATGAGGCCAACGTTGACTTTTACAAGTATTTCATCTTCTATATGCCCCCTTCTTTTCTCCAAGGACACACATAATTGAGAATTGCCTGCATTACTGATCCTGCATGTTAAAGCTGTCCTGACATCATGAAGGCCCAACAGTGGGTGGGGAGCTAGTGCCCTAAAATGGCATCAGGTCAATAAATACCCTCAATTTCACATTCCTAACTGGAAAAGAATATAGGTACAACCTAGTGGTTTTCTCCTTATACCAAGTTTCTCCTATGATACAAAGTGCTTCCCCCTGTCCCCAGTTTGTGAATATTCTTATAAATACAAGCACAACTTCAGATGTGTTTTGGCTATTCTAGAAAAAAGTGCTGGGGCCGGCGTTGTGGCATAGTGGGTAAAGCCACTGCCTGCAGTGCCGGCATCCCATATGATCACCAGTTCTAGTCCTGGCTGCTCCTCTTCCAATCCAGCTCTCTGCTATGGCCTGGGAAAGCAATAGAGATGGCCCAAGTCCTTAGAACCCTGCACCCATGTGGGAGACCTGGAAGAAGCTACTAGCTCCTGGCTCCAGATCAGCACAGCTCCAGCTGTTGCAGCCATCTGGGGAGTGAACCAGTGGATGGAAGACCTCTCCCTCCACCCTTCTCTCTGTGTAACTCTTCCTTTCAAATAAAAATAAATCTTTAAAAAAAATGAAAATGAAAAAAGTACCAATCAGGTCTAAGTTATTTGGTCCTCCTTGTTCCTTATAAATACCAAATAGTTCAGCCTTTGTTCCTACAGTCTTCCTCAACTTGGACAGCCTTCTTCTTACCTAAATCTTATCTATTCTTAAAGTATCAACTCAAACTCCACTGCTTTTGAGAATCCTTCAAATGCTCTGATTCACATCATCACTCCCTCTTATTTTTGGCATTCCTCTGAACTAAGGGAACTAAGTAGGAACCTCTGTGAGTGAGCCATTAGTACAGGCACTTCTGTTAATCTGGGGCCTGTTTCCCAAGTTCAAGAACTTAACACGTTAAAGACCTAATCTACTATACTACAAAAAAGGAGGTCCCAGGAGAAGGAAGTAGAGGCCAGGTAAATAGGAATGGGAGAGAAGATGAGAATTTAAAGCACGGGAAATGACCACAGTGGGGAACTGGGGTGGGAGTGAGGAAGATTGAGGGGTTTAATACTGGGTTCCTCACAGGCTGATTCCAGGGCCCTGTTCTTCCCACAGTTATAATTTTCATGTCAGATTTCTATTTTCTTAGTCAACTAATACTGCTTTAACTGTACCTAGAATATGAAGTCACGTCGTCATCGTTGTATGAAGATGAACTCATGATTCTGTGTATGAAGAAATGCGCTGGTTCTTTAGAACTCACTACTTCTTTCTGAAAAAGTACAAGTACAATATTACACAAAGTAGAGTTCACAATACACCAAGTAAAATATACTGTAACATTTCCTTGGTGCTCTAACTGTATTTTGTTGCCACAGGTTCACTGCTGTGTCTGGGTTAACCTGGCATCATTGCTAATGGATAATCCAGGGAACTCACTCACTAGGAAACCCTAAATCCCATGTATTTTCCAAACAAATGGTATGGTACAACTTTTTGGATAGGTTCAACCGAAGAGGTCAGCCCAGACCACTGACAGAGGGATACAGAATCAGGGACAGGAGCTGTGTGTCAAAGTGATAGTGGGGTGCACAGGCTGACTGCAAGAGATATAGTCAAAGTATTTTCACTAACTTGCTTTTTTGTTTCAACAAGCTGGCCAAATAATTTTTTAGAAAAAACATTGTCTAAGTTATGTGCCCAACGGTCACATAACTAATAAGTGGTGCCAAGCCAGAATGCTAAGGCAGAGAGGCTCAATTTGCATGAATCTTTTTACTTCCCTCCCGCTCATCTTCTGACCCTGTCCACTGACATGGAGCTTTGTACACCAAACTCCCAGTACGTATTGATCAGCTAGGATCAAAGAAAAGGATGAAATGTAGCGCTTTTAAGTAATTAGCTTGTGGGGCTGCCATTATCACACAGCAAATTAAGCTGTTCTCTGTGACACCAGCATCCTATACAGAGGTGCTGATTTGAGTCCTGCTGCTATGCCTCCCAATCCAGCTTGCTGCTGATGCACGTGGGAAGGCAGAGGAAGATGGCCCAAATTCTTGGGGCCCTGCCACCCATCTGGGAGACCAGGATGAAGTTCCTGGCTCCTGGCTTTGGCCTGGCCCTGCTCTGGCTCTTGTGGCCATTTGGGGAAGTGAACCAATGGATGAAAGGTCTCTCTTTTTCTGTCTCTCCCTCTCTCTGTCACTCTGCCTTGGAAACAAATATTTTAAAAAATGATTAGCTAGAATTTCTCCTAACTAGCTTTCATTTTCTGTTTTTGTTATGTTTCTATCTAACTTAGACTCTTCCCATGATCTGTTTTATCTTAATGAAGGCTCCTGATTTCATCTGTTAATCATTTCCCTTTTGTTGTAAACATCAGCAGAGTTGGGAGAGACTCCCTGAATGCAGTTCAGTAATGTTTTCTTCCTATCCAAGGTACACTGCTGGGACTAATATTGTGAAACTACCCTCTCGATAGAAAGCACATTTCTTACTTACATTAAGTTGTGGCTTCTGCTCCTGAAAGGAAGAATCTGCAATGGTGGAGGATTTCAAGGTAGCCTTGTTAGCCACAGAAATATTTTTTATTTCTGTCTCTTTAGGGTCTGTGCATGGAATTGGGCTTGCTTCAGTACTTTTTGTGGATAAAGTGGTTATGTAACGACAACATTTTCCTAGAGACAGAAACTTTTTCAGAGTGCTCTTGTTCTGTGATGGCTTGGGAGAAGACTTTGAACTTGCAGGGGGCTTTCTATCTTCTTTGACTTGATCTTCAAACAGGCTGTCGGATAGAATTTCTTGGACAACAACTTCGTCTTCATCAGAAGTCAAGTTCTCTTCTGTGTTACATTCTGACCCTTCATGGCTGATATCATGAGCAACTAGCCGAATGATAAGATCTTTTTTGTTCAGGACATCCTTTAAGAGTTCCACTTTGGTGATGTCAGGTTTTGTTAAATTCTGAAAGGAGTTTCTGCTTGCTATCTGCAGTTGAAGAGACAATGAATATTAAAAACAATTGCCTAAGCCATTTTCCCTGTGGTTCTATTGAATCAAGGTAATTTTTATGTGGTTTCTAGTTTCAACTTAGTAAAATTACTTATCTTCAAATTACATTTACTTACATATTAATGGTATATTTAAAGGAAGAAATAAATGAACTGCAAAAGAAATTTATGCTGTTGTGTAAATTTTTTTTTTGTATTCAGAAATAATAACATTCAAGACCAAAGAAGAAAACCTAATTAAGGTTCTTTCTTTTTTTTTCTTTATTTATTTTTGACAGGCAGAGTGGACAGTGAGAGAGAGAAAGAGAGAGACAAGTCTTCTTTTTGCCATTGGTTCATCCTCCAATAGCCGCTGCGGCCAGCACATTGCGCTGATCCGAAGCCAGGAGCCAGGTGCTTCCTCCCGGTCTCCCATGTGGGTGCAGGGCCCAAGGACTTGGGCCATCCTCCACTGCACTCCCGGGCCATAGCAGAGATCTGGCCTGGAAGAGGGGCAACCGGGACAGAATCCGGTGCCCCGACCGGGACTAGAACCCAGTGTGCCGGCACCGCAAGGTGGAGGATTAGCCTAGTGAGCCACGGCACCAGCTAAGGTTCTTTTAATTCAGAGTCTACTTTCTACTTCCTAAGAAAAGGAGAATCAGAAATACTTTAATTGCATTATGTTTTCATAATTTACTATGAAAACTCTATAACAGACTTAGACTTGGCCATCCATGATAACATGTTTTTCTTTTTTTTTTTTTTTGACAGGCAGAGTGGACAGTGAGAGAGAGAGAGAGACAGAGAGAAAGGTCTTCCTTTGCTGTTGGTTTACCCGCCAATGGCCGCCGCGGCCAGCGCGCTGCGGCCGGCGCATTGCGCTGATCCGATGGCAGGAGCCAGGTACTTATCCTGGTCTCCCATAGGGTGCAGGGCCCAAGCACTTGGGCCACCCTCCACTGCACTCCCTGGCCACAGCAGAGAGCTGGCCTGGAAGAGGGGTAACTGGGACAGAATCCGGTGCCCCGACCGGGACTAGAACCTGGTGTGCTGGCGCCGCAAGGCTGAGGATTAGCTTAGTGAGCTGCGGCGCTGGCCAACATGTTTTTCTAAGTTTCTTAGTAGGGAACTAATCATAGAGTAATCTAAATACAGGCATTTTCACGAAAAAAGGCAAGATACTGGCTGACCTGGATTTTTAAAAATGCCTCACAATAAAAAATGTGAAGGCCTTTGAATGTTCACTCCTCACCATTCTGTCCTTAATACTTTGAATACGTTTAAAAAAATAAACTTCAAAGAGTAAATGTTTATTTTTCCTCACCTCCCTAGCCAAATGTCACTTTCCATTTTGCAATGTTAAAGACAGCCCAAGGAAAAGACCATTATAATTAAATAAATGCCTTTTCCCATTTCTGTAGTCTTTGATGATGCAAAGAACCTTTAAATTAATTTGAGTTATCAATCTTAGATCTCAACTTCTCTTTGTAACACTGAAGAACAGATTTTCAGATAAATTCTGCCCTAAAGGAATGTCTTTTGTGCAAAACAAAATGAAAGAGGAACTTCTGTAAGAAATGGAAACAATCAATTTTGATTATCTGTGCTGTTGGAGGGGAACAGTGGCTCAAAAAAAGATCATTCTGTATGGCTTTGGAATTTGTCACTGTTATAAGCCTTAACTGTGCACAAATGTGTTGTGCTGGGAAGTTTTTGTACCTCAAAAAGAGCAAATGAAGCCCTGCTGGTGAATTCTGTACTGAGGAGTAGCCATTGAGTTGTGTGGGGCTAGGCGGGGCCTTGCTATCCAGATTGCTACAAAGCATTGTTCTAGTTGAGCTGCCTATATCTGTCCACTTTCCTTAAGACAGCTTCTGCTCCTCTTTCTAGTGTTAGGGTAATTCTTTGGGGTTAAATATTCTCTTCCAATGTTCTCTGGGCTATAAAGAGATAGTTAAAGTACTAAGAAAAGATATGAGAGCAGGTAACCAAAAATAAGAACTGTGACAGATTTCTGCAGATGAACTAGGCACTAGCATGGGAGTAATGTTTCAGTTTATTCACACAGATCTTGTGCCCAAAGAATTGCTTACATATAAATGTAGACTAAGTAAATGCTAATATAATTTTGAGAACTGAGAGAGATGGACATTTTAGAGCTGGGCTGGCAAGGGCCTTAATGTGGTTCAAGAAACTAAGGACCACAGAGATTCTGTTAGTGTTCCAGCTGATAATAATCTCAGTATTTTGCATTCAAAAAAGTACCCATTAATGTATTCAGCAGTTCAGAGACTTAGTTCAGTGGTTTGGAGAATAATGCTAAGGAAAACATGCTCCTGGGCCTATACTCCAGGCATGGTGGTTTAATAGAACTTTGCTCAGGTGTTACGCTATGGGCTGCATCCCTAGTGTGAAAGCACATGATCAGAGCAAGAGGCTCATTTACATATACCAAGTGGCTGTGGCATGAATTGAGAACATGGGGCTGAAACAGTGTAACTCCATCTTTGGGCAAAGTCTTTTGACAATAAAATGAGAAGCATAAAATCTAAAGAACTTACAGTCTAATGTTTGCTGATGAATATTGGTAAGTAAAAACAGTAGGACCATGGAGCCTTAAATTTGAGGACTCAAATGGCTGGCAGAGGCTGCTGTAGCTGATATTCTAATGGTCCCTTTTGTACCTATTTAGTACTCTAATAATGTTTAGCCATAAAAACTAACTGGGGGAACTTCTGTAAAAGACTGCATTTCTTTTAAGTCACCTAATGGAACTACAATGCCACTCAGTCTCGCTTGTTGTCAGGGGATTCCCTGGGTTCCCATTCTTTAAGAGATGGCAGTTCAGTCTGCTTGGCTAACCACAACAAGCCTGATACCTAGAGGTGATGGGCTAAGTTCCAGAAAGGCAGAGGACTGCATTGTCTTGAATGAAGGCTACCCAGTTCTGCCAGGATGGGAGGAGAAGTTGACCATGTTTTACAAACACATTCTGTGGACCTAACCGAGGAAGGCAGGCACAGAGGGGCAACCGGGTCACCCTAGACACTCGCTTCTGTTCACGACACCTCTTATGCTTACCTCTAAAGGCTTCACATTCAGTCTTCCGGCCATATCCAGGGAGATCCGCCTTTCCTTCTTCTTCGGCTCTGCGGCAGCTAAGCCTATTGAGTAACTCCTTCCACTTATCATTGCGGACCTCAGTGCTTCTATGCTGTGTCCCGTTTTAGCTAAGCACTCCATCTGCAGTTTTTCAAGAGGTTGCGTTTTTATAGAAATGACCCCTAAGTGTTCTGCAACAATGTTTGGATCAATATTGATTGGCTTTTTCCCATGGTGAGGAATTATTCTAATCGGAAGTTTCTCTTTAGTTAAATTGTGGTCTGATTTTTTCCCCTCCGGTATGGGCTTCCCTTTAACAGCATACTCATATGCTTTTTCAGCAATCTGATGGACATCCAGATCTTTAAAGAAATCAGTACATGAATCTTTTGAGCTAACTGTTTCTAGTGGACAGTTTAAAACTTTACTAAAAACCAAAGAAGCCACCTTATTAGGGAAGAAGTGGTTTGTACCTTTCACATCATAATAAAGTTCTTCTTGTGTTCCACATTGTTGTAGTGCCTGATTATAAACAGAATCAACAATCTGAAGAACAGTTTCTCTATTTTCTGGATTTAGAAAGTATTCTTCAGGATAAGCAGCTACAACACTAATGTTATTTCTAGAAATTTCAGCTGTAACAGATTTTGTCAATTGAGATGACATCTTATTTAACTCAAATTTCGATAAGTTTTTAGTATTTTTGCTTGAGGCACTTGGCAACATTGCTAGTCTAGCCAAGAACAAGGCCAGTATCTCCTCTAAAAACAGGGCATCTAATACAACAGATTTTCTGGATGAAGCCTTTTCCTTCGACCTAAGGTCATCAATGATCTTAACCACTTTTTCCATAATTTTGACAGCTTCTAGAACTAATTCTGAACCTGATGCTTCTCCCTCCACTTGAGGGTGAAACTCTGAATTGGAAATTTCTTTCACCATTAAAAATCCTATGATATCGGAAAGGAAGTTGCTTTTGCCCAGTAAATCTTTATACACTGAAATATGTGAGCCAGAGTGCTTTAAAACACTGTTATAAACTGAAGTGACTACTTTTTCAATAGTTTCACTTTCTGCTAAAGATATAGTGGATGATTCTTTGGTTTGTGGTACAACTTTAATCTGACTTTTGGACATATATTCTTGGAACGAGTCTAAGATTTTTGAGATTATCTTTTGCATTTCAGCATGTAAAGTTTTGTTTGATTCTTTACCCACTGTTGGAAACACAGATAAAAGCTTTGATAAAAATTGTACAGCAATTTCTTCTATTATGTGAAAAGGCAGTTTGTGAGCCTGCGGTGGCTCACACTGGGGAACTTCGGTGGTTTGCACTATATCTTTAAGGACATTTTCAACAACATTGTCAATTTCTGTACACTGATGTGGGGTTAGCTCTCCTGAAAAATAGGTCTGGAGCTGATTGCCAGTTACTTCCCTTACAACTAAATTCACTATAGATTCTGAAAGCATTCTACAATCACTGGTGATACAATTTTGTATGTTCGCAAGAGATCCAAATTGTGGCAAGAGATTATTATAAATAGTTTGAACCACTAATTGAATAATTTCATCATCATTAGGATGTAAGGACTGTACATACTCTATAATCATACATTCATCTTTGGATATCTCTGTCATAACCGTGCCTACTAACTTCATTTGAAGGAAATCTAGTTCTGTGTACAAATTATCCTGTAACATGCTTGTGTTGGCCACTGTAAAGAAAATTTTTGACAGAAGAGAAGACATTATGTTCTCTAGAAATTCATGAGGCAACAATACAGTATATGGCCGCGATGTCTGACATTCTTTGCAGGAAGTTTGAGGCACCTTTTGAACCTTTTTCATAAACTCCTTAGATTCTAAAGGCAAACATATTGAAGGCAGACCTTCATCATGAAGTAGCAAGTTTAGCTGATGCTGAAAAATTTCTTCTAGTACTGCATTAGCTAGCCTTTTTGCTAAATTCTCACCATTACTATTTATGTCCTTACAAATGGAGTACTGAGATTCATATTGCTGCAAAATACTGGATAGGGAAGAGTTAACAACCTTACTGATGAATGCTTTATCAACTGATGGTGTTTTAGGTATTAAAAGCACCTCATCTGAGGGAGACATTTTAGTTTCAGATGACATTTTGTTCATGGATGGTATTTTATCTCTAATTATCATTTTTATCTCAGGTGAGACTTTATTCACAGGTGGCTCTTCCTGCCTGAGAGATACTTTATGAGCTGATGAAAATGTATCTGTAGATGAGAAGGACTGATTTCGCTGATCTTGGTTTGATGCTTTCATCTGAGCCTCTAAAAACTCCTTTAACAGAGAATCTATCAACTTCACAGCTGCATCATACAGCTCATCTGAATTTACATCACTGGCTACATTTTGACATGCATCATCTGTATTTGGTGAGAAACAAAAAATACATTTATTAACTATTTCTGAGATAACTTCTTCTAAAAAGTTTTCAGGAAAAATACCAGGGTTGTTTTCTGGTGGGTACTGAGCACTGTCTGGTTTACTAGGTTGAGTTAGAATCTCTTCATCGTTACTTTTTTCCTTCTCTTTCTTGATGGCCAGAACATATTGGCTAGCTGAATTCACTGAAGTAGGCTGTGCAAAGTCCTTGTCATCCTGCTTGATTCCATATGTTGCTTTATCATTTAGAGGATATTGGGATTTTGAATCATCTATTGGCCCTTGGAAAGAAGATATTTCTAAAACGTTGCTGTAAATGATTTCAGTGATATTGTGGACATGCTGAGGATGTAATATCTGTGTGTCATCCCTAACTCTGTAAGGTGGGGAACAGCTCCTCTTCACTTGGGACCGAATATCTTTCACAATGGATTTCAAAGATGTTAATTCAAAAGGTACGTCCTCTTCTAATTTTCTTTTTGCATCACTCTTCTTTGCATCATCTAATTTAACACCAGATCCCAGTACACTGTTCATGTTCCATGTGTCAGCGGTAGCTGGTGAAAACTGTTGGCATAACTTATCACCTCGCCTTTTCTCATCTTTTCTAGCTGAACTATCATTCTTCATGTTATTCTCTGGAAGTGGTGTACTTGAATATGGCCTCTGCGTATCTTCACTTTTCATCCTGGTTGTGGGGGAAGAAACTTCTGCTGTCTTCCCATTCTCCTCTCTGATGGAACTTTCCTTTTTGTTTTTATCCCTGTTCTTTCTGTTGGCCACACCTCCAGCCAACTCTGATACTAGTGTAGTTACTTTGCTCTTTATAATACTTGTTACACCAGTGCATATTGGATCCTGGACGCTGCATCTTTTCATTGAAGTCTCCTCCTTTTTGAAATCCTCTTTTTCATTAAATGTTCCTGTATCTGTCTCCCAGGTGTGCATTTTGTTTTTCAGGCCTGAGGCAGATGACTGTTCTGGTGAAGAAATCAGATTCCCTTTTAAGCTTCTGGTTGCCTTTGTAAAGGTTTTATATGGCAGATGTTGAACCTTTTGGATGATGTTATCTACATCTAGAAAGGAAAAGAAGGTGGAATACCAATTTCCTGAAAACAGTGGTTCAATCTCGAAAGCAGTGATTGCCTTCCTAGCTAAAGAAGCAATCAACTCTGTAACAATGTGACTTCTGTCATCTTTTTGAATGTCACTAGATCCATATATTTCTGTGACCTGATCATACACAGAATCAGATATCTTATTAATTGTCTTTTTATCTACTGGTGGAAAAGAAAATATTTCTTCAGCATTTGTTACAGCTTTCATTTCACTTTTCCTAAATTCTCCTATCAGGTCATTTGCAAAATTTATAGCCATGCCCACAAGCTCTTGTTCTGGCATTTCTTTGTCATTAGGATTTCTATTACTACTTAGGAGTGTACAAAACTTGCAAACAAGGTCAATGATAACCTCTTCTAAAAATGAAGCAGAATACACAGATGCCTGTGGGCAGGATGATGTTTCTTCATTAGCAGGATTTGAGAGTTCAGTGGCAGAGTCATTTTCAGGTAACTCGCTGGGAGGTAAGTCTTCATCACATAAAAATGGCTGCAGATGGCGATCTACAATTTCCTTGATAATGAAGGCAGCTATTCTCTTGATGAATGAACTTCCCTTTTTGCATGTACCTCTCTGTGGTTCAAGTTGGAATTTAAGGTTTTGCATAATATTGTTACATATGGAGTCAATAAAGTTCTCAGTTGCCTCTAATTGCATACTTCCTGCATGCTCTTCTGTAGAGGCAAGTCTAATCTCATGTGCAGAAATTTCTGCTATTATTTCATCTGTTAGTTTTGAAGCTGCATCCACAAATTCACAATCTGGTATCACCTCTTCCTCTTTTATTTCAGTTTCTGTCTCAGATGAAGAGACTACATATGCTAAAAGCTTGGAAATCATATCTTCTAAGAGGGAACGAGGCAAAACAGTGATGCATGACGGCGAGACACGGTTATCCTCAATGGCCTCGAGCACATTTCTAATGATGTTATCTTCCTGTAAGGAGGAGTAAGAAGTCATTGCTAATTCTCCTGAAACTAATGACTCTATTTGATGATCATAAATTTCTTCTAACAACAAATAATAGATTTTTCTTCCAAAATTGACGGTATCATTTTGTATAGCCATATGAATATGAATCAGAGATTTATATTCATCTAATAGCTTTTCATAAATTAGGCTTATCATTTTTTGGATCAGTTCTTTATATCCTTCTGAAACATGCAGATTTTCATCCAAGTTGTCTGTAACTAAAATCTGTGATGTGGTGAGCTCCAACACAATTGATTTTACTAATATTGTAACAATGTTTGTAATATCAACTTTTGCTTCCTGTCGGTCTTCAGAAGCCAAGACATTACATGAGAACATGTAAAGGAGTTTGCATAAAAGTTCAGAAATAACTTCCTCCAAAAAGACAGCTGAATTCACAATGAAAGACAGTTCTCTTTGTTGAGGATCTTTTGTTCTTTGTTTATAAGTATGGTCAACTGAACCTGAATAAAGAGTTTTATCTCCAGGTAAAAATGACTGAAGATGATGGTTAAATATTTCTTTTATTATATAACTTGCTAGTTTTGTAACAGGTATAGCACTTATGCCTTTTTTATCTTTTGTAAGAGACTGAGAAATATCTTTATAAATGGTATCAACCATAGCCTGAGTATCTTCTTCTGAAAGCGTATTTTGTTTTTCACTTCCATGTTTGATAATGCATATAGCATGCTTAGAAATTATTGACATGATTTCATCCACTAGTCTCACAACTGTGTTACTGACGTCTGGTTGGGAACATACTAGGCTTTCTTCACTGAAGTTTAATGGACTTATTTGAGACAAAACCTGAGTGACAATTTTTTCCAAATGGGTATGTGATAATATGGTGGTATATGTTGTACAATTCTGATTTTGGAGTTGTGATTTACTAATTTCACACTGTACTCTTTTTATCAAAGCATGAGCATTGAGTTTTGAATATGATGTAACAGGCAGCTTTGCTATGATATCTGGAAGAATCTGGAAATCAAAAACTTCAGCCAAGATAATTTTAGTTACTCTTTCAGCCAATGTCCTTGTGTCACTGAGAAAATCCTTATTAGGTAATAGTTCTAGATTATATTCTTGTGAAATTTTGTTATACACCACATCAATAATTTTTCTAGTTATATCTCTATCTACTGTTGGCAAACACAGTTGCTCTTTAGTATTTTCAAGGATGCTAACCTTGGCTTTTGACAATTCTTCTATTATCAAATATATGAGTTCTTTAGCTCTTGAAAGCTGTTCTTTTTCTAAGTCTCTTATTGTTTTTGTTTTCACACTGCTGAATGTCTTATGGAATATTTTGCTTACAACCCCAGAGATCACATCTTCTAAAAAGGCTGGGGAGTAAACACCAGCAAAAAATGGTTGCCTTCTCCTATCATCAAGGTGTGTATTCGATGGAAGCAGCAAATTTCTATACTCAAATGGATGGAGATGTTGTTGGCAGATATTTTTAATGATACAACCCGCTATTCTATCAATAAGAACATCATTACTGCTTGTGATATTATGCTCCACTACTTCTGGAGACTCTGAGTTTTGCAAAATACTTTGGAATACTGAATCAACAAGATGCTGAGCATCATCCTCTGAATACAAAGATTTGGTTTCATCTTTATCTTTTGAAAATCGAATTTCATGTTGGGAAATTTTCATCCTAATATCACTGATTAGTTTTGAAGAGATTGTATTGACATTAATTCCTGATCTACCATCTGGGGTTTCACCACATGGAAGCATGCTAACTGCAGGTGGAAAGATTCTAGATAATATTATCTTGATTATGTCTTCTAAAAATGTATACGGCAGTAAGGTGTTATACAGAGATAAATGCTGACTTGGCTTGGTAAATTTACTGATGCCACTAAAGATGTTCTGAGTTATATTCTCTGTTGTTAAAGTTGCATAGTAAGAAGCTGACAAATCCCCAGAAAAGAGTGGATGAAATAGATAGTCAGAAATAGCTGTCACAATTAAATTGGTAATATTTTCCACAGAAATATCACTGCCTTTGAGTTCCTTATTAAAAGCCTCAGGGGCCAGATCATGCTGTTCCAGAATACTCTCATACACTGAATTGACAAGTTCATCCACAATATCTGTATCTACAGTGAGAAAAGAGTGCTCTTCATCATCACAAAGAATGCAGATTTTAGCTTTGTTAAAATGGTCATTTATTGAGTTAACTATTTTGGAGACTGTTTTATCAAATTCATGCTCAGTGTTATAGTTTGGATTGAAGACCTTTGATAAAATCCTGGCTACAATTTCTTCTACAAATGTATTAGGATAAAAACCCATACCTAGTGATGATGCTGGGGTCTTTTGGGGTTTGTATGATTCAGTGACTTCACTGAGAATCTCTTTGGCCATATTTGATACTTCATCCAATGGAGTCCTTGAACAAGGTAAATTTGTTCCACACAAAAAGGGCTGAAGATGGTTGTCAATAACCTCTTGAATAATAAGACTGGCTATTCGGTCAATCATAATTGGACTTTGGCTTACCATACTTTTCTGCATTGAAACAACAGAGTCAGACATCTGCAGAATATTATCATAAACAGACTCTGCCAAATTGTGGAGGTTTTTTTCTGTACACAGATGTTGATTATCATAGTTAGTGAGCCAAATCTTATGTTTTGAAATGGCTAACATAACTTTATTTACTATACAAGTGGATAGCTCATTAAAATCTGAAACTGTTAAATAGTTATTTCCCAAGCATGAGGTCTTGCCAGAGATAGGCATAAGCCGAGGTAACAGCTTTCTGATGACATCTTCTAAAAATGAGTGTGACAACATGGTGGTATATGAATGTTGAGCATGGTAATGGCGTTCTTTCAGGTTATTTTGGAGTTTTTGTAGTATATTTTCAGCCCTGAGAGGAGAATATGAATTGGGCATGAGCCTTCCTACAAGGTACAGTGGGAGCTGGTAGTCTAAAATCTCCATCAATATGCTATTAGCTATCTGTTCTGATATGGAAGTAATAGTATGTGCCAGATAATTTCTGCAGTTTACTTGCAATTCATATCCCCATAAAACATCATTATAAACTGAGTCAACAGTCTTATTAACACTTTCTTTGGAGAATGGTGGGAAATATATACTTTCTTCAATATTCTCCAAAACAGAGACTTTGGCATTATTAAACTCATTAACCACAGAATTCACACCTAATATATTCATTTCACTGAGCTCGGCCTCGGTGATGTTTACAGTTTTGGCCCACAATGAGGTATAGAGATTAAGAAAAATGCCTACAATGATCTCTTCCAAAAATGTGGCTGAGTAAACTATTGTGCTCATGCCTCCTGCATTTTGCATGCTATGAAATATGGCTGCTGTGTTCATTCTTTTATTTCCTGGCCTTTGCAGGGGAGGTAGATGGGATAATTTTCTAGGAAAGTGCTTATCAAAAAGGGTGTGTGTTTCAGAACAAATGGATTTGGGATCATTCAATGCCCCTGTCAAAGGCTTGCCTTCATAACTTGTGAAATTTACAGAGCCTTTACCCTGTCTTAATTTTTTTAATTCTGGCCTTTTTGCTTTTGGAAACCCAGAAAATTTCTCTCTAGTGCTATATGTTAATTGTTTGTTTGCTAAGAGTGGACTTCTGGGGGGCTGTGGTACATTTTGTGACAGTTCTTCCATTAAGGATTTTACCAAACTATGGGAAACAATACTGAGAATATATTCTTCATCTATTTCTTCCAGATTTTCTAAAAGGTCTGCCATGTCATATCCTTCAGATGGTGAGCATACATTTTGAAGCATGTTGAATAGTTGACATTCTGCTGATATTTCATTAGAGAGTTGGTCACTTGCAAGGGCATTGTTGTGGGCCCTGTGTTCTTCCAAAAGTATCTGAATAAGTTTCTCACTCACAGTATTCAAAAGAAAAACTGATTTGGGTGAGAGGTCTACATTTTTTTTAGGTATGCTATGACTGTGCTCATTATTTGGAGATGGGGATACTTTCATTCCTAGTCTGCCCAAATCAGTATTCCAATTTGGGTGCTTTTCTGGAAATAACAAGTCTACAACAATATTAAAAATTTTGTTGACCACTAGTTTAGATTCACGAGTTCTTAGGCTCCCAACCAGAGTGCCTAACTTACATGCTAGTGTATTTAGTTTATCTTCCGGTAGAAGTTGATCAATATGGGGAAGACTAGTTGATTTCCAATCTCTAGAGCATGTCTGTCTTTTCATAGATTTAGTTTTGTTGCAAATGGTCAAACTATGGCCTCCACGCATGAAAAGTGACTTGTTTCTTTGTTTACTTTCAGGATGAAGGCTCATCCCTATTTCTTTGGACAGAACGTGGATTACTCCCATTAAAAGATCCTGAAAGAGTTCATTGAAGTCTGTTGCAGCTACTCTTAGGCAGTAAATATATTTAGTTTTTACAGAAACCGTTTGTTGTGTAGTGTCTTCCTTTAAAATATTGTTATTAAAAAGGATTAGAATAATGATTTCAGAAATGCTTAAAGCAAGTTCTCTGATAGAAATGATCTGACTCTTAAACTCTTGGGAATGAACTATAATAAACTTTGTAAAAGTTGCATCTTTTCTTTCCAGTACTTTCTGAACCATTCCACTGTCTTCAGTGCAATCAGAAATTCTTAACATTATATGGGAAATAACTAATTCAGTAAGACGTTCACAAAATTTCTTAAGTGAGGAATCAGTGTTTATGCTTCTTAGAGTCTTTTTAAATTCATACTTTTCCCTTAATGGTGTGGAAATCATATAGACTTTTTGATCATGAGGACCTTAAAACAGAAAACATTGCTATTTTTAACATGTAATAAAGAAAAATGTTGACCATTCAAAATACTGGCTATATTTTTATGTTAATTTCAGCTTGGTTGCACATGACTCAAGAAATCAAGAAAGCTAGACAAGAAAGGTACTGGGTTTTCTTCAAATCTCTATTTCCTATCTGTGGAATCCTTACTTCAGCTAGCAATTTTAAGACAGCAGAATTGTAAGGTCTAAAGTGTTGGTTTCCTCCTTTAATAGCTATGTTGCTTTAAGAAGCTGAGAATCCTGAGGCAGAGAACATATTTCTAGCTTTAGTGTTGCAATGCCTTTGTAGGATTCCTGTGATTGCTAGAGACCTCATATTAGTATCTTAAAAAATTTTTATTACTATACAGATTTCATGTATTTCATAGGTACAATTCTAATGATATTCATACTTCCCTCCCAACTTTTGTCCCTCCCTCAATCCCCTTCCTTCCTTTTTTCTTTAATATTTGAAAAAAATGTAATTTCAATCCACTCTATTATTATCACAGGCTTAATGCCCTACTAACCATAATATTCAACAAGTAAAGTAGAAAGGCCACAGTTTGTATAAACAAGGGCTAAAAACAACATGAAAAATTTTAGGATGTTCAGGAAATTATCCAATTTAGTATGTATAACTATTAAACTTAACTAAATGACTGAATAAACTTGTTGCTGTTTGACAGTTTTTGACACACATAACTGGCTATTTCATATAGTGAGCATTCGCAGACTGGGAATAGAAACAACATCTTTGAAAACATAAGTTTAGAATTCTCTACCCAAGATTTTAGTTCAGACAATGGAACGTGAATAGAATTAGCCACTGTTCCCATAAATGCTTGCCTATCAATTATTAAATGTCAATGTCTTTAACTATATACCTCAAAAATGAATTCAAGGGGGAGTTCCAAGATGGCAGAGTAGAGAGGGAGCTTAGTGCTCTAATCTAGGAAAAGATGGTTTAAAAAAGTGGAGAGAGTGCAGTCTTAGGGAAGTGTTAGGGAGAAAACAGTAAAGGAAGCCCTACACAAATTAGAGGGACATGGTGGACCTACTTGGAGGGCATGGGTGCTCACAGCTCAGGAATCTAGCAGCTGAGAACCTACGCATCATTGTTGGAAAGTGAGGTGAGACCGGACCCGAGCAGCCCAAGTCACTGGCAATAAAGCTTCAGAAAGAGGCTAGAGGTAACCTGGCTTAGAGCCCTGAGAGGGATAGTGTACCTGCCAAACTAGAGGAGAAAAAAAAAAAAGGAGGGACATGTTTCTCTCTCCCAATCACTTTACAATGGCATCTTCTAACAAGCTGATAGAGTGGGTGTCATTTTGGACACACATAAAGCTGCGCCAGCTCGTGTCTGCACACAGCAACCAGCTGAGTGGAGAGTCCTGAATCTGGTGGGGAGAACTAACAGGGGGCTGGGAGCTCATGACTGTGGGAGGCTTAGGTGCCAGGACTGTGAAAAAAACTGAGGCTGTGTGGGAGGACTCACCACGTGGCTGGGACTTTGGGCAGTCACTGTGGGAGACTCCACATGCTCAGGGCTTCCTGGTTACCTGGTCGGGGACATTGCTGGGGAATCTGAGCTAACACTGAGGACTGCACAGGTCCTTTGTGTGGTCCTTGGGGCAGAGCAGATGAATGCTATACCTGCTGGGGTTAGTACTCAGGCACTGGTCACCTTTGAGGAGAGGGACTCAGCTGAGCAGAATAAACTTCCCTTCTGATTAAAAAAAAAGACCACAGCTAATCTGGATGTGTCAACTTAGACATGCCCTTCACCCTGGAGAACTGAACAGAGCTCCCTGGCCACACCCACTACAAGCCTCTAGGTATTCACTGAAAGCAGATTCTCCACTTATCTACAGAGGAATAATACAAAGATAAAAGCCATCACAGTGAAAAAAACAAAGAAGAAACCAATGAGTATCTCCACAAATGCAGAATAACAAATGCACCAATTCAAGAAACAAGAATACCGAAGACAACATGACACACCCAAAAGAACACAACACTTCAATACTAGATTGTGAAGATGACAATATGGAAGAAATGCAAGAAATGGAATTTAAAAAATTCATCATAATATTACATAGATTACCAGCATCCCATATGGGCACTGGTTCGAGACCCAGCTGCTCCACTTCTGATCCAGCTCTCTGTTGTGGCCTGAGAAAGCAGTGAAGATGGCCCAAGTCCTTGGGCCCCTGCACCCATGTAGGAGACCCTGAAGAAGCTCCTGATTCCTGGCTTCAGATCGGTGGAGCTCTGATCATTGCAGCCATTTGGAGAGTGAACCAGCAGATGGAAGACCTCCCACCCTCCCTTCCTTTCTCTCTCTCTCTCTTTCTCTCTCTCTCTCTCTGCCTCTCCTTCTCTCTCTGTATAACTCCGAATTTCAAATAAATACATAAATCTTAAAAAAAAAGACACAGACTGGCTGACTGGATTAAAAAACAAAACTCATCTACTTGCTGCCTACAAGAAACACATCTCACCAACAAAGATGCAGGCAGACTGAAAGTGAAAGGATGGAAAAAGATATTCTAGGCTAACAGAAACCAAAAAAGAGCTGGTGCAGCCATCCTACTATCAGACAAAATAGATTTTAACACAAAAAAATGTTAAAAGAGACAAAGAAAGGCATTATGTAATGATTAAGGGATCAACAGGAAAATGTAACTATTATAAAAATGGCACCTGTCTATTTAGAATTGTTCAGGGATCTAAAGGGAGACATAGACTCCAATACCATAGAAATGGGGGACTTGAAAACCCCACTTTCAGCACTGGACAGATCAACCAGATAGAAAACCTGAAAGGAAACAGCAGATTTAATTGACACTATAGAACAAATGGACCTAACAGACATCTACAGAACTTTTTATCCTACAGTTGCAGAATACACATTCTTCTCACCAGTGCATAGAACCTTCTTTAGGATTGACCACATACTAAGGCATAAAGCAAGTCTTATCAAATTAAGAAAAAATCAAAATTATACCATGCATTTTCTCGGACCACAATGGAGTGAGGCTGGAAATCAGCAACTCAGGGATCTCTAGAACATATGCAAATACATCAAGACTGAATAACATACTCCTGAATGAAGAGTGGGTCATAGAAGAAATCAAAACATTTCTGGAACAAATGAAGATGACAACAGAACATATCAAAACTTATGGCATACAGCAAAAGCAATGTTAAGAGGAAAGTTTATAGCAATTGGTGCCTACATCAAGCAATTGGAAAGGCTCCATATAAATGAGCAATCAATGCATCCCAAGGATCTAGAAAAACAACAGAAAATCAAACCCAAACTAGTAGAGGAAAGAAGCAATTAAAAGTAGGGGCCGGTGCTGTGGCATAGCAGGTGGAGCCGCTTCCTGCAGTGCCAGCATCCTATGTGGGCAGCAGTTTGAGTCCTGGCTGCTCCACTTCCAATCCAGCTCTCTTCTGTAGCCTGGGAAATCAGTAGAGGATGGCCCAAGTCCTTGGGCCTCTATGCTTGCATGGGAGACCTGGAGGAAGCTCCTGGCTCCTGCCTTCAGATCAGCACAGCTGTGACTGTTGTGGCCATCTGGGGAGTGAACCAGCGGATGGAAGACCTCTCTCTCTCTCTCTCTCTCTCTCTCCTTATGCCTCTCTGTAACTGCCTTTCAAATAAATGAATAAATCTTTAAAACAAAGAAATAATTAAAATTAGAAAAGAAATCAAAAAATTGAATCCAAAAAAGCCATACAAAAGATCAGCAAAATGAAGAGCTGGTTTTTTAAAATTAAACAAAATTGACACACCAATGGCACAACTAACCAAAAAAGGGAGAGAAGACCCAAATCAATAAAGTTAGTGATAAAAAGGAAATGTAACAACAGACACCACAGAAATAAAAAGAATCATCAGAAATTACTACAAAGAGCTGTATGCCAACAAACTGGGAAACCTAGAAGAAATGGATAGATTCCTGGACAGAAACAATCTACCTAAATTGAGCCATGAAGACCTAGAAAACCTAAACAGACCCATAACCAAGACAGAAATTGAATCAGTAATAAAGGCTCTCCCAACAAAGAAAAGCCCAGGACCAAATGGATTCAATGCTGAATTCTACCAGACATTTAAAGTAGGACTAACTCCAATTCTTCTCAAGTTATTCAAAGCAATTGAAAGGGAGGGAATTCTCCCACATTCTTTCTATGAAGCCAGCATCACCTTAATTTCTAAACCTGAAAAAGATGCAACAGAGAAACAGAATTACAGACCAATTTCCCTGATGAACAGAGCCGCAAAAATCCTCAACAAAATTCTAGCCAATCGAATCCAACAACATACCAGAAAGCTCATCCACCCAGTCCAAGTGGGATTTATCTCTGGCATGCAGGGATGACTCAACATTCACAAATCAATCAATGTGATACATCACATTAACAAACTGCAGAACAAAAACCATATGATTATCTCAATAGATGTAGAAAAAGCATTTGATAAAATACAACACTCTTTCATGATGAAAACTCTAAGCAAACTGGGTATAGAAAGAACATTCCTCAACACAATCAAGGCAATTTATGACAAACCCATGGACAGTGTCCTATTGAATAGGGGAAAAGTTGGAAGCATTTCCACTGAGATCTGGTACCATACAAGGATTCCCACTCTCACCACTGCTACTCAATATAATCCTGGAAGTTTTAACCAGAGCCATTAGGCAAGAAAAAGAAATCAAAGGGATACAAATTGGGAAGGAGGAAGTCAAACTATCCCTATTTGCAGGTGACATGATTCTATATATAGGAGATCCAAAAGACTCCACTAAGAGACTATTGGAACTCATAGAAGAGTTTGGTAAAGTAGCAAGTTATAAAGTCAATACACAAACATCAACAGCCTTTGTATACACAGATAATACCAAGGCTGAGATTGAGCTCCTAAGATCAATCCCATTCACAACAACTACAAAAAAATCAGATACCTCAGAATAAATTCAACCAAGGATGTCAAAGAGTTCTACAATGAGAATTACAAAACACTAAAGAAATAAATAGAAGAAGATAAAAAATTGGAAAAACCTACCATGTTCATGGATTGGAAGAATCAATATCATCAAAATGCCCACTCTTCCAAAAGCAATTTACAGATTCAATGTGATACCAATCAAAATGCCAAAGACATTCTCCTCAGATATAGAAAAATGATGCTGAAATTAATATGGAGGAACAGGAGACCTCAAATAGCTAAAGCAATCTTATACAACAAAAACAAAGCCAAGGCATCACAATACCAGATTTCAAGACATGCTACAAGGCAGTTATAATCAAAAAAGCCTTGTACTGGTACAAAATAGATGGATAGACCAATGGAACACAATAGAAATGCCAGAAATCAATCCAAACATATACAACAAACTTATATTTGACCAAGGAGCTAAAACCAATCCCTGGAGCAAGGACAGTCTCTTCAACAAATGGTGCTGGGAAAACTGGATTTCCACATGCAGAAATATGGAGCAAGGTCCCTACCTTACACCTTTCACAAAAATCCACTCAACATGGATTACAGACACCATCAAATTACTAGAGAACATTGGAGAAACCCTACAAGACATTGGTCAGGCAACGAGTTCTTAGAAAAACCCCAGAAGCACAGGCAGTCAAAACCAAAATTAACAAATGGGATTACACCAATTGAGCAGTTTGTGTATGGCAAAAGAAACATGCAGGAAAGTGAAGAGGCAACCGACAGAACAGGATAAATTATTTGCAAACTATGCAACTGATAAAGGATTAATAACCATAATATACAATGAGATCAAGAAACTCCACAAATAACAAAACAAACAACCCAGTTAAGAGATGGGCCAAGGACTTAAACAGACATTTTTCAAAACAGAAAATTCAAATGGCCAATGGACACATGAAAAAATGTTCAGGATCACTAGCCATCAAGGAAATGCAAATCAATACCACAATGAGGTTTCACCTCACCCCAGTTAGAATGTTGGTGAGGATGCGGGTGAAAAAGGTACCTTAATCCACTGTTGGTGGGAATGTAAACTAGTAAAGCCACTATGGAAGACAGGGTGAGGATACCTCAAAAATCTGAATATAGACCTACCATATGACCCAGCCATCCTGCTCCTGGGAATTTACCCAAGGGATTTACCCAAGGGAAAAGAAAACAGTAAACAAAAGAGCTATCTACACCTCCATGTTTATTGCAGCTCAATTCACAATAGCTAAGATATGAAACCAACCTAAATTCCCATCAACAGAAGACTGGATAAAGAAATTATGGGATATGTATACTATGGAATACTACACAGCAGAAAAAAATGAAATCTGTTCATTTGCAACAAAATGGATGAATACGGAACACATCATACTTAGTGATATAAGCCAGTCCCAAAGGGACAAATACCATATATTCTCCCTGATTTGTGAGAACTAATAGAGCACCTAAAATGAAATCTGTAGAAGTAAAATTGATACTTCAAGAAGGGTTGACAGAAAGAAGTGGCCATCGAAGAAGGAGGTTCTTTTCTCTAACGGGAGTAGAGTACTTCTACTTTGCTTATGGTCTTGTCCAAATACTGACGGAGTTTGTGTACTCAAAAGGCTTCCATAGCCTAGGCAGCTCACATCAAGAGCCTTAGGTAGTCACTGATGTAATACATAAGAGTGTGAATTGCTAAATTAACAACAGGACTCACTGTGCACTAACTCCCCATGCAGGACCTCTGTCCTCAGTGAGTTGTATTATGAGAGTTATCTGTAAAACTAGTTCTCAGGTTTTGTGTGTGTGTGTGCAAATTGTTGAAATCTTTACTTAGTATAGAGTTGGTCTTCTGTGTACAAAGTTAATTGAAAATGAATCTTAATGGAGAATAGGACTGGGAAGAGGAGAGGGAGGAGGTGGAGGGGTGGCAGTGTGGATGGGAGGGCGGTTTTGGTGGGAAGAATAACTATATTCCTAAAGTTGTAATTATGAAATTTGTATTCCTTAAAAAATAAATTAAAAAATGAATTCAGTCATTACTTTGCCATCAATTAGCTATGCATGAGGTCTGCCTATAATGTAAGAAGTCTTTTAAAAAGAACTTTTAGTTTTTTAAGATTGACAGTGTTTATTATCTTTTAAAATTAAGATTATTTGTTTTTATTGACATACAATAATCATACATATTTATGGGGTACAATATAATATTTCAATACATGCATATACATTATAATGATCAAATTAGGATAATTAGCATCCATCATTTCATATATTCAAGATTTGTTTGTAAGAAGAACTTTTAAAAGACCTGTTTGAATTTCTTTTCGGGAATTGTCTTTAGAGTTTTATGTACCACTCAAGGAAACTGGTCTCATCATTTCATAGACATACCTCATGCCCAACCAAGATCTCTTGCTTTAAGATTTGCCCATTTAATTTCTTTTTTTTTTTTTTTTTTGACAGGCAGAGTGGACAGTAAGAGAGAGAGATAGAGAGAAAGGTCTTCCTTTGCCGTTGGATCACCCTCCAATGGCCGCCATGGCTGGCGTGCTGCGGACGGCACACTGCGCTAATCCGATGGCAGGAGCCAGGTACTTATCCTGGTCTCCCATGGGGTGCAGGGCCCAAGCACTTGGGCCATCCTCCACTGCACTCCCTGGCCACAGCAGAGAGCTGGCCTGGAAGAGGGGCAACCGGGACAGAATCTGGCACCCCCACCGGGACTAGAACCCGGTGTGCTGGCGCCGCAAGGCGGAGGATTAGCCTAGTGAGCTGCGGCGCCAGCTTGCCCATTTAATTTCATCTGTAGATAGGGAAAACTGAACAACAGCCCTCCCAATAAAAGTTACCTGAAAGCGTATTTTTTTCTTTTAGCATACCAACCAGTTGAAAAATGCCCAAGTAGATAAACAGCCACCCAAATCTAAGACTGCTTCCAGAGAAAGCAGTAAATGCAGCTTCTTAGGTGTAAAGGTAAAAACAAAATTCTTAAAATTATCACTGATTTCTCATCTAAAAACAGACTAACACTTTATTAATCATCTCTCACTCACCTCTGGTTTCAAAGTTCTTGAAATGTGTGACCACAGATGTAGTAATATATCTTGCTACTAGATGGATTTCATTTGCTCCCAGTTCCTGGTCCGTAAAATCAATGACTTCAGCCTCTTCAAAAGTCGCAATTTTCTCTGAATTTGGGGACTTATTTTCCCACTTTTCTAGTAAAGTGAAGTCTCCACTGGCTTCGTGGCTTTTGTTTTCTTTTTCAGTTTTACAGCTGAATCTTTTGCCCCATGTTTTAAGTAAGCTGTTCTCACCCTTTTCTTTAGACATTACAGACAAAGCCCTTTCATTTGAGATTAAAAGTGGCTGCACCGTTTCCATACTTGCATTACCGTGGAGAGAACCCAGAAATTCAGAACGTCGCAGCACATTGTCGATATCATTTTCTGCAGCTAAACATACTTTGACTGGAGAAACAGATGTCTGTGTTTGGTTTGAGTGAAGCATTTGATTTTCCTCTGCCTCTCCTTCTCCAAAGGATGTGGCGTGCTCTAGTGCTGCCTGTGCAGAGATGATGGATTTCTGAGGTAGTTTCGGTAACACACTGTCTTTAGGGAGAGTCTTGTTTCCTTTCATGCCTTGATCAAAATGGTGAAGGTCTTGTGCTTCACTTCTTGAATATGATGGTTTAAATACTGGTTTGAGCTTTTTCATTGTATGTGTGGTTTTTGTTGTATCTCCCACACAGTGGCTGGCACAGGAAGAGAATTTTGAGGAAACCCTGTCTGATCCTTTCGAATCTCCCTCTGAAGGAAACATAAAAGCAGGGATTTGTGAAGGATCATTCCTGTGGTTAACTCCCTCTAACTCTGAGGTGGGCATTTTCACCCTGTTTGTGAATTCGTTCTGATTAATATTGCAGTCTCCTTTGAGCTGATCTTCCTTTTGTTGATTTTTGATGAAGGACTTGTAAAAATGAGTACACTGCTCTATCAATGTGCTGATGATCTGACTTGTTACTGTGCTGTCTTCAAATGCACTATCTGAAGATAGTCCCACTTGGAGTTTTTCTTGGTCTAGCTTGTTCTTAATTATACCAAGCATGTCCCTGACAGTATTGGTAGCATAAGTAAGCAATTCTGTGTGGAACGAATGAAGCTGTCGAAGGGTGTCCTGTATGTTTCCTTGGGGAGTCACAGCACTATGTTTAGATTCATCAGGAAACACATTCAATGACTGGAAACTTGGTAATAATTTTTTCACTGATGGTTTCTGTTGGACAGCAAAAAATTTTTCAATAGGCACTTTCACAATTTCTGAGAAAGTGTATCTAGAAATGTGCTTAAGCTGGAGGTCTGCAAATGACTCTAAAATGTTTAGAACTCCTTCGATGATCTCTTGAGTGACTTGGTGGCTAGAGAGCAAATCACGTGTGTCTTCTACTTCTGTGTCATATATTGGTGTACTGTTGATGTTGTTTGATCTTTCTAGAGCTTGCTTTTTGCTGACTTGAGTTTCTTTACTATCTTTTAGGAACATCAGCGTTGAGAAGCAGAACTTTAGTTTTTGAAATAACATTTCAATAATTGCCTTGCCAAACATATTAATTTGTGTTTGGGAATCCACAGCTCTTTGAAAACTATGTTGCCTGCTTTCACAAGCCTTAAGAGGTGACAAATTTAAAAGTGAAACAGGCTGCTCTAGTTCTTTTGTTTTTATTAAAATTTCATGCAAAACAGTCTCAGTTATCATCAATAGCTTATGTTTTTCATTTTCCATCTCACTTGATTCTGTTGGCCTTTTACCAAATATTTGCATAAAAATGTCTTCCGTAGGAAAAATCTTTTCCGGCTGTGAACAAACATTCTCTAAGTAAAACTGTGCTTCTGGGTTTGGAGGAGAGATAGTACTTAAAATCTTCCATAAATGTTTTCGGTTATCTGAACATGAGCCTTTTTTTGGGTCAGCCAAATTGTTCTTCATGGCATATACTCCTTGTAAAACTGTATTTACTATTTCACGTGCTTTCTCGAGTTGATCAGAAGGAAAAGTTTGCATGTTTACCATTGCTCTACTTTGCTTTACCTTTTGAAATTTATTCACAATTGTCTCCAGAATATTGCATACTATATCATTGGCATACATTTTTAGTTCTGCAGTGGGAAGTTTTGTTCTCACTGAAGGTCTTTTGGCATCTCCTGTTGATAATAGTTCTTGCAGCCCAATGATAGTCTTGGACTTGCTGTCTCTTGGAATCTTCACTCCAAGACCCAACTTGGTCTTGCTTTTGGCCTTACCACCACCAAGTTCCAATGGCGGTGTTGCAAATTTAGGCAGAGAGGTAACTTTCGATTTTGTTTTGAAATCTTTTTTAAAGCCTGGCCCAGGGCTGCCCTTGGGATTCATTTTAGAATTGCATGGCCTCAGAAATCGTGATTCATGAGACTGACCTAGATCCAGCAAAGCAAAATTTGTGATCTTTGTAAGAACATTTTGGACCAATTCTTTGCCCACTTGCAATGGAAAACAATGCAATGATGTGGTTTCCATTGAAGTAACATTTTTAGTGCCCGTAAAAGGATAACCTCGCCTTATTAAATGTTCAGGGAATGCTCGTCTTTTTTCTGCTTGTTTCACTCCTTTAAAGCATGATACATTCATCAGTAATTTATCACTGCCAGATGCTTCCAGTTCACTCCTAGTCTCATTATTTTCATATAATGATGTCAGAACTACCAAGAGCATTGTTTCAAAAACATTTTTAATTATATCATTTGTGACACTGCCTATACGTGATTGTAAGATATTTTTTTGTGCTGCTGTTCTAATTTTAAAATCAGATGGAAAACGAGAGGGATTGTTAAATGGAGGCCAATGGTCTTTGTCTTCCATTACCCTTCGATAAACCTTCTTTACAATTTCTCTAACTGCACTGAACAAAGGTGATGTTTTCTCCTGTCTAGATTCTCCATTTCTAAATATTCCCTCCAAAATCCTTCTCAAGTTTTCCTCTTCTGATGAAATTTGGTTTTGATCCAGGCATTTTGAAATCAGAGGAAGTTCAGTGTTGTCTTCCACCTTTCTTTGACCATGCAATAGTTTATTTTGTAAAGCCGGTTGTGGGAAGAGAGTAAAATTGTGTTTTGAGTGAAGACTACTTTCCTTTAAAGATATTTTATCATGCAGACTCTTCAAGATATTGTTGACAGTTTCACTTGCAATGGTGTTTTCTAGAAATAAAGTAATGTTTGGATATGAATATGTCATTTGGATTTCTAGATCTACGTCATTTTTAATAAGCATCAAGATGGTGCTAGCAATGATTTTTGCATATTCTTTAAGGCTAGCTTGTGATAGGTGGATTGCAGGACCCCATTCTTCATAATTAGCAAATTTATCATCTGTGACTCCTTCACTGAGAATGGTTTCATTTGTTGATAGTTTCAGACCATTCACATCAGATGATATTTGGTTTGATTTTAAAAATACAGTGTCATCTTGTTTGTAATTTGTAAATTCTGGGCTAATAAATGATTTTTCTCTAGGCTTGGAATCAAGAGTAAGTAAATCTATTCTTTCTGTGGCAAAAGATTTTAATCTATCTAAAATAGCTTTAGTAATGCAGTTAGCATTTTCTTCATATGAATTAAGGGCAGATTGCTTGGTGTCTTGTTCCTTAAGAACAGTTGCTTGAGAGTCCATAGCAGACTGTTGACATTGTTCTTTTGGATATGCATCACACAGTCCTGGGGACATTCTTGCAGACATGGAATACTTTGCACTTAGGCCAACCGTAACAGCAGAACTGATATTTTCAAGAACTATATCCACCATATCATTAGAAATCACAGCAACACATGAATTAGGAACTAAAATCATTGGGACAGCCATATTCGCACACTCAGGGACCATTTCAGAATTGACTTCAAGATGTCCCCAGCTTCCGTTACCTTTATGACTTGACGTATCATGTGGGAAATTATTCTCCTCTAGCATTTTTTCACAAATGTCACTTAAGATACATTCAATGGTTTCTAGTATTTGAGACTGAAGTTTTTTTCGATAATCCTTTTTATTAAACAGCTTTTTTACGACATATTCTGGCTCACTTGAATCAATCTGTGTGTCAGAAATACTTTTTTCACACTTGCCTTTAGCAGATAGACAATCCAACACTGTATTAACAATCTGACTTGTAATACTTTCAGAGACCACAATATTATGTGTTAAGAATGGGCTTTTTGCTTCTTTATCTAACTTCCGTTTGATTTCTTGTAAAATCTGTTTAGCTACCTGCGTTGCATATATATGTAATTTAGATGTAGTCAATTGACATTTTGAGGTGGCCTTTCTTGACTTCTTATGATCTACTGAGTGACAAGATAATTGATCACTAGAATATGAATTTTTGGTTGATGACCATGATTGACTTAAAGCAGTCACATCCTGCTGTAAAGTCATTGGAACTCTGATAAGAGGACAAAAGTATGATTTTACTTTAGAAGTTGCAAATCTTTCCAAATTTGCTAATACTGACTGTATAATATCTTCAACTACATCTACTGTGGTCAATTTATCAGCACTAAATCTAGTAAGTGAACATGGGTTTCTGTCCAGTATGGTAAAATGAACAGAGGGCTTTTGTCCACTGGCATGTTCAGGGAAACAGATGCTTGTGGGGTTGCTTAAAGTGTCCCATCTATTTTCACCTGCATTTCTATCTGTCATGGTTGCAGAATGAAGTTTTTGAAATATGGTTCTGATAATATTATCTGCAACAGTGATAACATCTGCTTCAGATATTAAAGGATCCATTGTTTTGTCCAGGCCTTCAACTGGCTCATCATTGGCATGAGGGGTGTCACATAACTTGGAATGGAGGACAGGACGTACATTTATTTGATCAATTAAATCATTTTGGAAAATTTCTTTCAAAATATGTCTTATAATGGGCACAACTGGGGACTTTTGTGGCTCTCTAAGTTCTGATTCAATTTTTTTCAAGGTTCTTTCTAATTTCTGCTGTTCAAGACAATCTGATTTAGTTTCTTCTGGTGGCCTTTTCTCTCCATCACATTCTTTCTCTGTATCTTCAGGATCTTCTAGATAGGTTTCTGGTCCAGCTCCTCCAGGAAGAAAATTGCCATAAACTGGTTTGTACCTGTAATATTCAATACTTCTCTCTTCCAGTTCAGTTTCATTAAACTTATCTGGAGGCATTCCATCTAAAATTAAATTGACTAGCTTCTTAAGCATTTGTTTCTCTTGTGGAGGGTTGTGTACACATGTTTCCAAATCTGGCAAGCTCGCATTTAATTCAGTTTGAATAGCCTTTAAAATAGCACTTGATGCCTTCTTTGTTCGTATGTGTAAAGCAGACTTCAATAGTTTGTCATGTGTGGTAGGCCACATATTGGTACCTTCACTTTCCCAGTCTGTTGTGTTGCCCTTTTTATTGCCATTGATTACAGCACCCAGAGTTTTAAAACTTCTATTGGCAAACCCTTTCAATATAGCAAAAACTGTTTCAAGGATATCTGAAGCCATGATTTTTAGTTTATTTGTATACTTTTTTGGCATGCTCCCGGTTTGAGGGACAGTAGTTTTCCCCTTACTGGTAGTCACCTCTTGACTGCCCTGCTGGATCACACTGGACATCATGCTGGAGATGATATCAGAGCATCTGCTCATTTCCTCCATAAGTGAAGCAAATGAAAGGCTGCTAATATCAAAGTATTCTGAGGTCTCTTTAAATTCTGAATGTTTCAAGCTGCCATTCATCTCAGCACTACATAATTTTGTAATGATATATTCTAGAATTGTATGAGAGATCAGTTGAATATCTGGCTGCATTTCAGTGTTCATTCTCAAATTTTCATTACTCCTCTCTCCCTTTGGCTCACTATCAGATTGGGGAGAATGCGGATAGCCTCCTACAAGATTACATAACATATCACATAAAATGTCTCCAATTTTATCTAATACTTGCCACGTGGTACATATGTGAACTTCTTTTTGCCCAGGAGGACAATGAAAAGGAGAAAATATTGGTTGATTGATGTCAGTATTTTCATACGAGATTCCTTTGTTTGAAGGCAATGGAACATTGTGTTTTTCTGGCTTTTCATTTAACACTTCACAAATACAGCTTACTAGTGAACTTGTCATAATGTCATTGTTTAGTTTTGTGACAAAAGAATCTAATTCGTTTTCAGTGTTAGCAAAAAATCCTGTATCTGTAAATTTCTTGGCAGGGCCCTTCTCCCTAAAATTTTGATTTTGCCTATTGTGTTTTAGTTTCTTCTGTATAGAATCCAGAACAATTTTTACCACTTTAGTTGTGTATGAGCTAAGTTCAGATTGAAACAGAGATTTCTTGCTAGGTGTAGGCTTCAAATTGCTAGTATGGCTTTCTGATTTGAAGCATTTTTGCAATTTTCGATAAAGGAATGACTTCAGCTTCTTAAAAATTGTATGAGTGATCTTATCATTAATATGAAATACAGTGTCAGATGTTGATTCATTATTTCCAGATTCTAACCAGAGATGGTCTTCAGGATCAGTACTAAGTGCAGCTATAATGTTCATCTTCTTTTCACTCTCAAACCATATTTCTAATGGATCTTTATCTGGTATTTCCGCATTATTGAGAGAAGTTTCATGTACTGATGAACAAGCAGAATGTTTACTGTCATTGATGATGTGAGTTGAAGCTATGGAGAGTATTTTTAACACAGCATCTGCTATTTCATGAGCTACTGTATCGATTTCTGACACAGAGAACATCTGGCCCAACTGTTCTAGATGTGATAGACCAGATTTTTCTGAAGTAAGAGGTGTAGCTTCTTGATCAAGGAACACAGAAGATGTATCTTTAAGCACTTCTGCTAAAATATTTGTAATTATGTTTTTTGAGGCTTTTTGTATTTGATGCTTTTCATGTTGACTGAAAATCCAAGTATCTTTATTCAAACATAGTGTGTCTTTAAAAACATCTTTATTATTAAAAGTTGGAAAGTTACTCTTTAATCCCCAATCTTGAAATGCCACTTTGCCTTGACAAGCAGGCGTTGCAGGTGAATTGGCAATTTGGTTGTATTTAAGATCAGCGTTTCCCTGTGCTGACTGGCGATTAGCCAATTGTTCTTGTAAATTTGCTTTTTCATCCTTGATACATGGAATCAGCGCCTCTTCCACAATTTTGTGTTCTTCTTTTTCATCTTCAGCATAAAGGACCATGCCAGGCACATTAATAGGTGGAAACAGTTGCCTATTTCTAGGACCAGCCACCCCAGTGCCAGCAAGTCTGTTTTCTTCAGTGATAAAAGGACTGCCTAGTCTGGGCTGTCTAGTCTTTCCGATGTCTGTTTTCACTGATTTCCAGTGTAGCTGAGTCAAGATATCATCAAGTAGCCGAAGGGTGGCTACTGTCTCTTCACTTGAGGTAAGCCTTTCATTACAAAGTCCAGTTTGTATATAATCCAGTATAGTGCAAATTGCTTCCTCTATATTAACAAGCAGAGAGGACTGGGACAAAATATTTGACACTAAATTTTGTATTTCTTCTTCAGCAATCAAATTGGCTGCATCATATTCCACACTAGACTTTCTTTTGCCAACTTTTTGAAAACACGTGTATGTTGGATCTGTCAGACATAGCTGATGAGTGGATTCAGGCATGACATCATCAGCAAGTTGATTTTGCTTAGAAGATGCAAGAACCAACAGCTTCTCTAAAATTACATGAACCATATCCTCTGCGATGTCACCCATGTTCTCTGAAGCATAAGGCAGTGAACCTTCCGAAGGCTTTTCTGTGGGGGAAATGAGATGTTCTCCACTGGGTGTTGAGTCTGATTTAAAGTGGACTGGCACATCTTGTGAAAACACTTCCATACATTTTTTCTGAGCTGCAGACTGTAGTTTATCAAGCACGCTTTCCACGATTTCATCAGCTGCTGAAGAGGTATCAATGTCAGAGAGCAAGTCTTCACTGTCCCTGTCAGTCTGGTCAGGCAAATCATCAGCTACAACAGTAGAAAGGGTGGGGATGGCCTCATTTAGATTGGACACCATTTCCTGAAAAATGTTTTGTAAAATTACCTCAGTTTCCTCCTTTAGGTAACTCTTAAACTTAACAAAAGCATTCGTTAACTCCTGCTTCTCGTTTTCGATTGTTGCTTTCCCATCTGAAGACTGTGGGTGTTCTAAGTCATCTGTTTCAGTGGCAGCATCCCTCGATTTCTTTGAGTTGCGCTCAGTTGATACAAAAAGGTGAGTATCTGATTTACAGGCTTTGAGACCTGTGTATTCATAGACCTCGTCGTCATTAATTTCAGAGGGCACAGATTGTCTTTTCTTGGGATGAGCTTTCTCCGCAGCTGTTCTATTTATAGGGGCAGGAGATGGTATTAATGGTGTGGTTGGTTGCTCCATTGACCTATCAGCTGCCTTTGCAGAGGGCTCTGTCTGAAATGTCTTCGTTCCTGTATACATCAACATGTAACTGCATGTACTACAGGAAGAGGGGGCAGAGTCAGCAGATACTGGGTGTGCATTATTTTTTACTCTTTCTTCATAATTTGTGATGGCTGGGTATAATATACTGGTAACTGAAGCCACAACCCATGCCATTATATTACGAATTATACTATTCAGTTCTTCAGAAGTTACCTAGAAAGAAGATGAGCAGGGATACAAGGAAAATCAAATATAAATTCACTCTATTTTAGGGATGAGGGCTAATCTTTAATTTCATACATCAAACAACAAGTAACTAGAATACAGTCATGGTGTAGAGGGAACACAAGAAAGGATCTCTTTTGAAAATCTGATCAATTTCAAGTCAGTTTGTTCTCTGTAGCTCTGATCTATTCTTCAAACATGATTCCATTTTATTTAAAATCCCTTGGGGGTTTTATTTTTAGCGGTTTTTTACCAGGAAAAAAATGACTTTTTGGTAGGAAAACAAAAGCTAAATGGGTGCTTAGGTTAAGACAAAACAAATGCTTTGACAAGAAGTGAAACTGTGTTTATGATCTATATGCTATTGTAAAAAAACAGACTACCTCTACCAAACCATTTCATTTTTATTTATTTTTTTTTATTTTTTATTTTTTGACAGGCAGAGTGGACAGTGAGAGAGAGAGAGAGAGAGAGAGAGAGAGAGAAAGGTCTTCCTTTGCCGTTGGTTCACCCTCCAATGGCCGCCGCGGCCGGCGCGCTGCGGCCGGCGCACCGCGCTGATCCGATGGCAGGAGCCAGGAGCCAGGTGCTTTTCCTGGTCTCCCATGGGGTGCAGGGCCCAAGCACCTGGGCCATCCTCCACTGCACTCCCTGGCCACAGCAGAGGGCTGGCCTGGAAGAGGGGCAACCGGGACAGAATCCGGTGCCCCGACCGGGACTAGAACCCGGTGTGCCGGCGCCGCTAGGCGGAGGATTAGCCTAGTGAGCCGCGGCGCCGGCCCCAAACCATTTCATGAAGCAAATCTGTAGCCAAAGCATTCCTGTGCATTCACAGAGATAACGTTCTGCATAGGCATGTTTTCAGCTAGGATGCAAAGAGAAACATTAAGACCAGGGATCAGCCTGAAGCCTTGGTGGTCACTCTGCTACTTTCCTCTGTCAGTTGCCTTTTGTAAAAGCAAATGATTACAGCTAATTGTTAAGGATTAATTGATGGGCAAAATTAGCACTGATGCTTCAGGAGGAATGAATGGGCTTTAGGTTTAAAAAATTATCAGTGTAAACTGTTTTGATAGGTAGAGGACAGATAATGAAGTAAAGGAACACATTAATTTAGTTAGAAAAAAGTGTTGAGCCAGAACTGAGCTTCAAACAGTCAAGAAGGACCAATAGTAAAGGGAAGCTGGGTCTCCTAAGGTCTGGACTGAAATGGAAACTCAGGAGCCAGACCTGAATTACCATTTCCTTAGTGTTTAGTTGTGCTCATGTCACAGCTTAGAGTGGCCCAGGGGTAGACACCAACTGCAGCTGCAAAACTTTGTATCTGCTCCCATACTTTTTGTATTATGCACTTAAGTGTTACAGATCTATTTGCGGAACATAAAAATCCTTTTCCCTATAATAAAATGATACATATTTTCAGTGATTGTTACGCTCAAGACAGCCAGACCAAGAGTGCTACCTTCCTCTCACATGGACTCATACTTTTAATTACATTTCTCCCTGAACATTTTCAAGTGTCCTAGAATACTCTAGTATTTCTTGATCTACAGGTTGGATCAAAATGTTACATTTGGTGATAAAGCATTGCATTGATGTTGACATTTTAAATTTCCCCCAAAATTGACATAGTTATAAAACCAAAAAGGAACTATTATTGTGAATTTAAAACCCTCAGATAATTTAATTTTTTCCAATAAAAAAAAGGCACTCTGCAAGTCAGTGGCAGCATTGGCTGGACACCTGGCATTTGGGCATCAGAGTGAATGGTTGGATCCCTATGATGTGGTTGTACACCTCCTCCCTCAGTTATCTCCAAGGTTAGCTCCTAGATTGTTCAGGTTTAGGCCAATGTTCAAAGAAAAGTTAATACCTTGTTGTATTGTCATATACTCTCTCCTGACCCATTGAGGTGGAGGGCCAACTTAGAGATCAGTTATTATTTCACTCTTAATTCCCAAATCTCTCAGTGCAGCTTTTGTTGTAATAAAATACATGACATACAATTTACCATTTTAAAGTGTATCATTCAGCAGTGTTATGTATATTCATAATGTTGTGCAACCACTATCACTATCTTTTAACTGCATTTTTAAACCCATGATAAAGGTCAGATCATTGGCAACTGAGTTTGAAAAACATGCACTGGAATGAAAGCATATAGTTAGAAACATACCAGGGGATTCCAATTCAATCCCATCAAGGTGGCATGTACCAATGCCATCTCACTAGTCCAAGTGATCAATTTCTGTTCACAATTGATCATAATGATAGCACTAAGAGCCAAAAGGATCACATAAACAAGACTAGTGTCTGCAAATACTGATAGAATAAAAAAGGGAGAGAACGATCCAACATGGGAAGCGAGATACACAGCAGACTCATAGAATGGCATATGTCCTAAACGGCACTCTGGCCTCAGAATCAGCCCTTAAGGCATGCGGATCCGGCTGAAAAGCCCATGAGAGTATTTCAGGCATGGAAAGCCAAGATACTCTGGCAAAAAAAAAATGACCTAAATGAAAGATCTCTGTGAGTGAGATCCCAGTGGAAAGAACAGGTCATCAAAGAAGGAGGTACCTTTCTCTGAAGGGAGGAGAGAACTTCCACTCTGACTACGACCTTGTCTAAATATGATCAGAGTTGGTGAACTCAAAAGGCTTCCATAGCCTTGGCAACTCATGACAAGAGCCTTGGCAACTCATGACACCATAAACAAGAGTGTCAATTTGTTAAGTCAACATCAGGAGTCACTGTGCACTTATTCCTCATGTAGAATCTCTGTCCTTAATGTGCTGTACAGTGTGATTTAATGCTGTAACTAGTACTCACAGTATTTTTCACTTTGTGTTTCTATGTGGGTGCAAACTGTTGAAATCTGTTGAAATCTTTATTTAATATATGCTAAACTGATCTTCTGTATATAAAGAGAATTGAAAATGAATCTTGATATGAATGGAAGGGGAGAGGGAGCGGGAAAGGGGAGGGTTGCGGGTGGGAGGGAAGTTATGGGGTGGGGGAAGCCACTGTAATCCATAAGCTGTACTTTGGAAATTTATATTCATTCAATAAAAGTTAAAAAAAAGAAAGAAAAACATACACTAGAATGAAAGTATATAGTTAAAACATACTTGTTTTACATAAATATGTCCTCAATCAAATACTTTTAAGAATAACATCTGAATATTAATAGGGAATTTACCCACCTTCTTGGTCTAAATCCATTCCAATACATATGTGCCAAGAATTTCACTAGGTATTATTTTCTTATTACCAGAGATCACATACAGCAGACCTACATTTTTATTCCTAGGATAGCTGAGAGGAAGCAATTCCAAACTTGATATATAAAATATGGTCACTGTTAAATGTTTCAATGAAATGAAATGTGATAAATAAAATCTGATTCTTCAGATTATTTTCATTATACTATGAAACTAAGAAATATCCTTTTGGTGCCATTGTGTTTATTTCATGGTCTATGAATTCAAGAATTATATGTGTGAAACAGTGTCTAAGAGCATGTGCTACTCCTTGTAATCCTGTAGTTGTTCATGCTTGTTCTGTCCAGTCCTAGAGTAGAAGCTCATAAAATGTACCCTCTCATCTTTACCTGGTACCAGTTCCAGCTCTCAGTTGACCAAGTCCTTTCTTTTGATGGAGTACTCAACCTCAACCTCAAATTCTTCTTAGTGCTTGAAAAATTAACCGACAGACTCAAGCATACTGGCTTACCTGCCTGAGGGGCCAGCCTGCCTGAGGGTCTGCAAAGGCATTTCTCATAATGGCTTCCCATTATGGAATGGGTTTATCATATTTGGATGCTTTTCCTGTGCAGGCTAGACCTCCTAAGATTCCCCAGCCCACCCTCCTGAGCCCCATATCTAAAGGGCCAACATTTTCTTTTAACAATAAGTTTGTATCCCTGAAAAACTGATAGTGAAAGTCAAAAAGAAAAGGCAAAGAGATGGACCAATATGAACAAATGATTGCTGGCTGTCTAATTCAGATTTTTCTCTTATACCATATTATACAATATCTTTACTATGTTACTTATATAGTGAATTTCATCATACATACTTTTTCTTGACAGAGATGTTCATTGCTGTACTCTTGTCTGAAAAGTCAAGAGAGATTGATTTCATTACTTAGGGTTAAGAATTTATGGAATCTTCCCCCAACTGTCACATTACACTTTCTTTTAAAGAGTTATTTATTCATTTGACAGTCAGAGTTACAGAGGTAAAGGGAGAAACAGAGAAGAGAGATCTTCCATCCATTGGCTTGTGGCAGGGAGCCCTCCCCTCGAAGAAGAAAAAAATTGACTAAAGGCAAAAACGGTAGAGGCTTTCAAGCAGGGGCTTCCTGGGACAGGGGGTGGAAGGTGCTTTCTGGGAACAATCGCAATGCAATTAGGTCAACTGCAGTGATGTGGGTGCACGTAGGCATGGCTGTGTGATGCAGTGAGTGTAAGCAGGGCTGCAGTTCTAAGATATCCAATCAAAAGTTGTATAACTGAATATGTATTAGAAAACTTACAGTCATTTGTGCTAGGCTATATAAGATAATACCCTGCTTTGTTCAGGGCCCAGAGATGTTAAGGACTGTTTCAAAAGTTAGCTACTGTATCTTAAAAGTCCAAAAAACTAAAATTGCCCGATTGTATACCTCTTTGTATATGTTATAGTTATAAAATCATATGCTGTCATATGCTAATCATTTTTAATCAAGGTTTTCCTGTTTTTGAAACTAACCTAGGTAACAAAAATATCATGTCTCTTGGGAAACTTTCATTTATTTTCTGACTGGCTTTATTCAGTTTTACTGCTAAAGAACTGAGTCTGCTTATTTTAAAATGTTTGTGTGATCATTTTATCTCTGAGTCTTTGACTATGAGTCTTTCAGTTGGATCCCTGAAACTCTCAAAGGATGAGATTCTCAACATAGAGGTGATAGTTGTTTAAATTAATCTGGATTGTACAAAATACATTGTTGGGTTATAAAATAATGCCAGGTTTACATTGTGCTTATACAAAGTTGATGTTTTACACTCCAGGGTCAGTGGAATGCCATCACAGATCAGACCCATCCCTCATGGATTTTCCCGGATAGCTTGTCCTGCATGTTCTGTTGGTTGTGTGATGATGGGATAACAGGAAAGTATGCTCGCTCTCTCTCTCCTGCCTTCAGCATCTGACTAAGGCTCAGTCAGCTCTGGGACAAGGAGCTGGCTGTTCTTCCCCCACTATACTTCCATCCTTGCTTACAACTCTTCTCCACCTAGTGTGTCCTGGAACCAAGGATTAAATTCCCAGTGTGGTGGATGTGTATGTGGCAGGGCGAGGAGGGCATCACAGTGTGTAAGTATTTCCAGCTGTGCAACTGCAGCTGGCTAAAGAAAAAAATAGACAATTTTGCCCTATTCAACCTTCTAGCTGTTTCCTTTTACTCAGAGAGTCAGTCAGCCCCCAGCCCCAACTGTAAAAGCCATTAAATGTACCCTCCAAGAAGAGACAGTAGGACCAAACAGCACCATCAAGATATAAGTCCCCTTTACAGCACAAGACCTAAATCAGATAAAAGAGAAGAGGGGAAGCTTCATTGAGAACCCTAATTAGTGGACAGATAGATGGCAGAAAGTGACTGACATGTTTGATCTTACCTAAAAGAACACAGTTAGCCTCATGGGCACTGTCTTAACTCACAGGAAAAGGCAATGCCAAAGCAAGCCCATGACTATGGATTGCTAGTTCTGGCCACTCTTGATGTTAGAAAAAGGTCCAATTAATAGCTGCCTTATGCAATGATCTGCTATTGAGGAGATCTAATAAGGCCAGTCCACCCCTAAAGAATATCTGTTTTTGATGCAAATAGCTAAGGCATCAAACCGTTGTTGTGGCAGAGGCTGGCTTTCAAAGAAGCCCCACCTACTCTGACCAAAAAAAAAAAAAATCTGGCCACTTGAAATGAAACTGCTGGGAGGGGGCTGAGGGGCAGAACTGTCAGATCAGAATCACAAAACCTACTGTTCCTAAGCTGAAGAAGCCATTCTTCACTCAGCCTAGCATCATTGTTGGCATTGCAGATAGGACCATAACTTTCTGTACTCTCCTAATCATAAACCCCTCTCCTGAGACCCCAAACCTTTTACACCTGGATGTTTTTCCAGCCAGGTAAGACTCCCTGCCTCTGGGACACTCAACATCCTCTGTTGCCATAAAATGTCCCTTAAGGACCCCTTTCCAGTACGAGTTAACTCAGAGAATGGGGGTCTATGTGAAAACTCTCAACCCAAAGCCACTCCAATCATCTGGAGTGGGCCTTCCACGGTCCTTTCAACTACCTCTCCCCTCCCTGCCCCAGCTGCCAAACTGTTAGGCTTTCCCTGCTAGATTCACTTTTCCACGTTAAAGCTCGCCTTAGCCCAGAAAAGGCAACAACCAGGTAGGGGCTCCAAGTAGATGGCACTCATATGCCCTAACCCCTACTTCCCTCCTTCTTACTGCCATTCCAGAGGATTCTGAAAAGGAAGACACACCCACTCACAAAACTCTGAGACAACCCTCTATGACCCTGGACAATTTTGTTTTCCTGATCTTTCTGGAATGCTCCCACATCCCTATCCAAACAAAACAAACGTTCTTTACTCTGCTGTGTGCCTGTGTCCTCCAAGGTAATTTTGTTGGTCACACTTTTGAGTGCCTTTCTGCTTGAATTCTAGTCTCCAAGAGATGATTTTCAGGCTGCTTCTCCTGACCACTGCCCTGTCTCCCTCCTGCCTGGTCCCCATGCAGGACTCGGTTTTGCAATACATCACTTAGAGTGCACACTCAATCTTACCTTCTAACTTTAAAATAACACAAATGCATATCTCACAAAGGATTATTGCCTATGACTCTCCCTAACTTCCTCCACCTCCACTGCAGTCTCTACCCCACAGCAGGCCTGTGTTAGCACCAGAGCACACTTCTCTGCTAAAATGGAAAAGGGAGCAAAGCAGCATTTTCAGATGTAGCAAAAACTTTCTTAAAAATTACCCTACAGCCCAAGCAGACTGGACCTTTAGGCTTTTTGAGAACTGTATGTCACATATCACAAAATTCTCCTATATCCAAACCCTAATCCTTGGCCCAGTTACCACCAATAAGCCAATCCTAGCCAAGGCTCCTTTCTGCATTAAAAAAAGACCAAAAAAACTACCTCTCCAAGAGTAGCCTCTCTCATTACCCTGGGTAATATTCCTCCTGAGTTTTGTGCTGTAATGATTAACATTATTGGCCCCTCTAATCACCAATCACATCAGATAGATTATTCTGTGTCACCTCAGGCTAATGACAAATGTACACAACCTTTTCTAAGCCCCTCCCAATCTCTCTATGCTCAATTCTGGTAATCTAAATACCCAATTCTGTATGAGCCGGGCCTCCACACAGCACGGCATGGATTTTTTCCCTGGCAACCTATCTCAGAAACTGAAATGACAAAGGGCTTTCTTACAAACACATATAAAAATTCTACTAGTTGGTTCCTCATAAGATACTCACATTTTATTCTTTATGAAACTAAATCATCAGGAGTGAACCAAATTAACCACAACAATTCCCTACAACCTCTCACAGGCAACACATTGGCAGGTACTCGAAATGTGTGGGAGAATGGACTAGGAATAGCACGAGGCACTTAACGTACTTAAACATCCGACAACTTGCTTTTATGAACAGGAGCTCCTCTTCATTTGTGGAATCAACACTTACGCTCTGCCTCCCCACTGATTGGACCTGAACTTGTACTTTTACCTGTCTCCCAATGTTAACATGGCTTCCAATACCCAATTTTTACCAATTCTTCTAACCACAAAACATTTGTCATAAAAGAGTTGTCGCCCTAATACCTTTCCTAGCCAGCTTAGGAGGCACTGCTTGGGTAGGCATGTGGATAGAAGTACTTGCCACATCCCTCTCCTTCTACCAGAACCCTTCCTAAAGATATGCAAGACAGCTTAGATGAAATAGCTCAAGGCCTTTTGAAAAGTTCAAGACCAAACTGACTCCCAGGCAGCAATAACCACATCAAATCAGTGGAGCTTGGACCTGTTAACAGCCGAAAAAGATGGTCTCTGCTTATTCCTAAAGGAAGAATGCTGTTTTCAAGTCAGTTAATCTGGTCTTGTCAGGGACACTGCTCACAAACTGGTGGATGGGGTATCTAAAATTTGACATAAATGTCTGCCCTTAAACGAACTGGTTTCAAAAATTCTCCTGGCTACCTTGGCCTTGCACCCCTTCTTATTCCCCTCATAAAAATTTTTTCTTCTTTTATCTCTAAGGCCAGGCCTTTTACTGTTGCTGAGAGGACTTGTTCATTCAGTAGTCCAGAATCTTACTCAAACCCATGTTGACAACATCTTTCTACTAAAAGGTACCCAATTCCAGCCACTGCTCCAATGACCTCAATCCCAGCACTGGAGAGGGAAGAACCAATACCTAAACTATGCCCTTTCTCAGCAGGAAGCAGCTAATAAGCTAGTGAGGCTGTCTCTGCCCCCAATTCTCTGGTTTTATCCCTCCCCTGAGAACCTTTTTCCATACAATATGCAGCTTTTTTCCCTTTTTCTTTATTATAGAGGCTGGATATGTTAGGATGTGCTAGGCTATGGGGACACAAATCGTTAAATTCACATCTGACAAACTGAGCCTCAATTAAGAATGACCCTGAGGATGTCACGTTGGTAAGGACTAAGATTCTGCTTGTCCTGTACATACAAAATTGCCAAGATCATACAATGGAAATAATGAGTCTTCTGCCTGTTCAAACCCACATTATTGCAGTGGATGTGGGTCTCTGTATTTCCACATGCCCCCCCCCCCCACACAACAAACAGCATAAATAGGCTGCTGCCCACTGCTTCATGGGCTGAATCTCTTCTCAGACCCACCACTCCTGATCCCGGTGGGCTGCAACCTTACTTTCCCTCAACCATGCTGTCTTGTCTTCAATAAAAGTATTTTCTGCTTTTAAATGGCGATCTGCTTGCTTTCTTAGAATCTTAAGAAAATTCTAAGCCTAGCAGAAATTACAACCTAAATCTTGGTAGGAAAGGAAATCTTACAGATGTCA